AGTTTTGTAGGTACATACTTGATACTTCCGCAAACTATAAATGCCCCTATTTAAATAACCTTAAATAATTAAATATGTAAATTAACCGTGTTTAGAAAATAATCAAAACGATATGGCGATAAAGTATTCAAAAGCTCGTTAGGCTAGCTGGAGGATAAGTATGCAATGTCAACGGCTTAGCACAATGTAATTGACATGGTAAAAATTAAAAAACACTAACAGTGGCGTCATTTCAGTTTTTGAAAGGGTGAGGCTAACGTTTTGACCGGTCCATAAAACTGAAAAAACCCGAAAACCTGAAAAAACGCGAAGCTTCTTATATTGAATTTTTATAAACTTACATTATTTTATGTGGATAATTTTCGGATGTATCCATGTCTTCGATGTTGGTAGGGATTTTGTTTGTACATATATTGTAAAACTAATGAAAATTGTAAAATAGATACAGACAGAAAATATATTATTATTACAAATATTACATTGTATGATTAAAAAAACTTTTTTTTCTCTTACTATCACAGAAGTAAAACACTCGTTCCCCTTGTATTGTTTCAATTTAACCGAGTCTGAATCGTATACGCCTGCGGTACGTTAGAGTGAAGTCGAAACCTTTGCAATTTTAAATTCATGAATTTTACATTTATTTATGTACTTACCGCAAGAGTTTGCAGACTCAATTACCTAAGCATTAGCCTACTCGCCATACTCTGATGAAATTATATGTTAGACCCGTTGCGTACTACGTCAGGCATATTGATGTTTTTAAGTAAATTAAAACTTTGAGTTTGTACTTCCTTAGAATACGGTTTAGTAAATACATTAGTATATAACTTTTAAAAACTGAAAAATTTGTTTACTTTTTTTTTTGAGCTTGCAATAAGCAACGCTTTAGAATCATGTAGCTTCAGCGTTATTTTTCGGCTAACACAATATTATTAAAGGGGTGGGATAGAATACAACAATGTACTGTTTTCAGCTTTTTATGGTCAGCCATCCTTACCCTACACCGAAACGTCTCTCATATCATTGTCAATTACTTCAATCAAAAGAAAAATTCTAGGTCGACCTCCATTTTTTTTCACTACATGTACACGACTCTACCACTTTTGTGTCGTTCTTTTTAGCACATATTCATTTTTGTTTAATTGCGTCTTTGATCTTAAAAATTCCCCGTGCAATTTGCTTTTAATCTTGATAACTACTTGACACTGTTTTTAACTCATTTCGTCATAAAACAGAGCTAATCATTTAATTGTTCAATAACACTAGTTTTCCCTGGTAAAAAAAAACCAACTAACCACTATTTTAAGCTTCGATGCGATTGATACCTGTATTCTATTAACTCGATTTTTCCTAAGTACGAGCTCTATTGTATTTAATATGCCCACCCACATACGGCAAAGGACTATCAGTTGTATGTATTATGTAAATTATATAGGTACTATGTGTATAATGTAGTTTGCAGTTTATGGTAGGTAATTACATTATTTGAAATTCTCTTCAATTCAAAGTGCAAGCTATATTACACAAAATACATTCATTTCGAACAAAAACACTATATTACATGGAATTATTTGCAATTGCATGTACAGTATAACTAACTCCCATAGGACAAAACGTATGTTTACCATTTGGTTCGTTTCTGCATTAAACCGAAATGTATTTACTAACGCTAGACCGTACTCTAAAAGCTCTCGGCGCTATAACCTTAATAATTATTATTACAAAAAAAAATACAATAATTTTATGAAACGATGCAGCGCTTTATTAATGCACTTTGTGTAACAAAGGCGCGAACGAGACGAGGAAAATAAAAAACAGGCCTTTGAATAACGCATTATTGAGCAATAATGCAAATTCAATTACTTTGATTTTTTTTTTGAAGAATCAATTTCATTGCATTTCGCTATTTGCTTTTGGAATTGTATTTCAATGAATTTACGCTTTGCTATCACCACTAACACAAACATCCATTGCTATTATCAGTTTTATTCGTTGATAATTATAAACGCAATAAAACATTTTTGTTAAAAGGCACTCGGGAGGTACTTGTGTAATGCAACTTGCACCCACTTGTCTGATACAAACGGATGTTAATAAAAGCCTATTTTTACTACATAGGGTTTTGTGTGTCATTCCGGGAATTGATGTCGCAATCAAAATAATTATTATGCTCACCACTTGTATCCACAACCTGTATCCATTTGCGTGAATGTTAATTTTTTTATTACAATCGTGAAGTACTTTGGTATACAGTACACGTTATTCTACTTTGTAACAATTTGTATATTATTACACTGATTTCCAACCCCCTTCGCTTTGAGTCTGGCAATAAAATCAGCCCCCGCGCAAATTTAAAGCAAGAAGCTTAAAAAAGAAAATCGAAGACATTTTTTAATGTACCACTTTATTCAGTTAATTTTAATTCAGATTATAGTTTTTGTGGTTTTTAATGTTTATTCTAATTTCATTTTTATCAATAGGTATAGCGGCGACCGCTAATGATTTATATGATAAGTTAGAGAAACGAGAGTAAAATTTTTATAAAACATTAATTACATCATATGCTCCAATATTTAACAATAATCTTAAAACCATATTTTATCCAAACCTGTCCAATAGAGTTTCCACTATGTAAACGCGTAGGAGTTATTATTTTTAGGTGCCAATTAAGAACTTTTAAACTTTAACTTTCCAGGAACCCCTTTAATACGTGATGCGAAACTTTTGAAAACGTATGACTGTGCTGTACCTGTACTTATACTGTTCCGAAATTGGCATCGAAGCGTTTGACAGTGATTAAATTACTTTGGTGTTTACTAGAATCGCTTTGATTCTACTTTGCTAATTTCTTACTATACTGGGTTTTTGTTTGTTTCGCAAATGTTTATCAGTGATAAAATAATGTAAGAAATATCATAATCATCATAATATTATCATTATGTTGTTTTGTTTTGTTGCAAATAATGTTTTATGCGAGGGATGCGTGCTCTGCAGCATATCGGATGGAATTTAGTGTCATTTGTATTCTGTGGAACACCGATATGTGCCTTTTGATGTTCATAATATATTTCAAATATCAGATATCACAAAACGCAGCGCAGCGTGTGTGACTGTGAGCGCCTACCCGAATAAATTATTATACATTGTACCCGTATAACAAATTGTGACATAGTGTGAGCCATAATACATATTGTAGCGCGTATTGTATGCACCATAACATAAATATATATATATATATATATATATATATGTACGAGGATGTATAGGATATAGGATGTTCTTTGTACATTCGCATTGATTTTCCGCCTCCGACAAAATAGGACAGTGGAAATAGGTACACAATGGCTCGAATTTCCTTAATGCGCGCATACACATACATATATCACCACCGCCGCCTTAGGTCAGGTAAAACTAGGAAGTGCTATTTTGCAATGGCAACTTGATAATAATTATATGTGCCACAGACATAACGCCAACGCTCGTACAAAGTTATAACAGTTTAAACTCGACGTTCGTCTATTGTTTGGTGGTTTTCATATAGCGCATATGTAATTGTATTTTGAATTTTTCAATTTGCTTTAAAAATGACACACAAACTTGTAAACGATGTCACTGAAAAAAATTAACACGGGGATAGACTTAATCTCAAGTAGATGATGAACACGATTTTATATTAAAATCAAAATTATCTTTTTTGATTTAATACGTGCCAAAACAGCTTAACCGAAATTTATTGACTTGAAAATAAATAAAATTAGTTTACTATTGTTCGTCAAAACTAGACGTATAACGTCTTTTTATTGGGAACAACATTTTTGAGAATTAGTTTAATCCGAATTTGAAAATAACTGAAATAGACAATTGTGGTTTGCAATAAAATGTAATTTGAAATTTGTGCATTAGTTTGTATCTCATCAGTTGAATCAATAATTTATTATCAAAAGCTCCAGATGGCAAGTTGAATGAATCAATTAAATAAATTTTAATTTATCCCTCCACGATACAGTGACCATAATTATGTTGGCGAATTTTAGCTTCGTCATTCATGAAAGTCCCTGTTATAAAATACCATCTGTTGGAGGATCCCTATAACGTCAGGGGATTAAAGATGATTCTTCGTTTATAATTGAGGATGACTTAAGGGTAATTTGGGCAATTATGGTCCAAATGCCTCAGAGTTTTGACATGATAAGTCATAGAACTTTCATCTTAGAAGTACTAAAAGTCCGGCTGGTTTATGCTTTATGAGTTATTGTGCATGAATCTGCACTAAAATACCCTTCCTAAGAGTCAGTTTCGAGTGTATGGAAAGTGTGTACTTCAGAATATAATGGGTAGTTTCTTATCGGACAATGTCGTCGTTGAGAACAAACAAAAGGGGGGAGACTTGTTAAATTGCCTAACTCTTTTGTTGTTTAACAACAAAGAGAATGGTGGTGACGTTATCTTTCAATTTTTTTTTTCATATTATTTTCACTTTGGGTTAAGAACATCCAGTTAAGGTTTGATACCTCAGTTATCTCACTAAATCAATTCCGACGGTTTTTAATGGAGTAAAAACACTTTTAACTAAGACAAAAAAATCTCAAAAAAAGACAATCAATTCTCAACATTAAATACACTTCAATATATTTTTTTCAATTATTAGAACGTCTTTCGACATTAGGTTTATTCGCGAATTCGTGTGAGTTGTGAGGTTTTTCATTTTTTTTTTAACAATTCTGAATATTTTTAAATATTACTTTTTGTATCTGTATGTGCCGAGCCCGCCCAATTTTGCTTGATTTAAGCAAAACCGTACGTGTGAATAAAACGAAAACCAAGGCCGTGATTTTCCACTTGTAACGTGAAAATACTTAAATGTGTGTACATGTATTAATTCCTAACTTTGATATTTTCCTATTAAAATCAATAACTGAGCTGTTGTTATTATACAAAATTGTATTGTACTATACTGCTATATTGTATTAAATTGTATTTTTCCATTTCTGTTTTAGCGATTGCATTGGTCGATCATTTTCACATCGATCCGGCGAGCGCATTCAAATTAAACGATCACAATGACGAGGAACTACTGTCGCCCGGGTCTTCCTTTCAAAAATTGGTGAGTAAAGGAAGTATAACGCTAATACCATATTTGAAAAATGGTCAAATTGTATAAAAATTAACACTAAAACGCAAAGACTATTTCCGAGATGTCTATCAAACCGATTTCAAAAATGTCTTCTCGCTAAAAGTTTTAATATCTATTCTATGGGCGCTAAAAGACCGATTTTTAATTTTGGTTTTTAAATTTATTTATGTGCTAGTTAACTACTGAGATATAAATAAATCACTCTCACGAGTGCAGTCTTGTCATTGAGTGACTGCGTGTAATGATATCGAACAACAGCTCTCTATATAGCTCGACGGTGTCTTGTAGTACTTTGATAAAGGCGTGTATATAGCCTAATAATGGTTTATTATTGTGACGGAAACGAGTTCTAGCGGGTACTTTGACTTGCTAATTCGGTTTATTTACATCTAAAGCGAAAGAGCTTTTATATTATAGCGTTTGAACTAAAAATCGCGTCGTCCCTATATTGTGTACTACACTCCGGGGGACTTAACGCGAGCAGTTTTAATGTTATTCTTTTCGCTACAGACACAAAAAAAGGTAGAAATGTGGCGGCGAATGAGCTGCTGCAATTTCCATTATATCCGCCAACTTACAAGAGAAACTGGAAACTTGATTAGAATTTAATCTAAATACTGCGGCAAGAGGCGCGGCAGACTAACCGACCGATAAGAGTTTCGCGTCTGTAATGTTTTTGTTTTTTTTTTCCTCTGGGAAATAATAAAACAAACGTTAACGATCAAGTCGATCAACAAAGCCGAGGGAAAACGCTTTTGGGGGCATCATTAGGATTTTTCTCGCGGATGACTGTGTCGTTCTGTTAACCGTGCCCAACGATTGGTATTCACAAAGCGACTGGGTTTTTCATCCCGGGCACATATGTAAATTTCTCCAGTTAATCCCTCGAATAATAAAAAATAAAAACCACACAAACAGCGGATCTCCGACACCCTCGTCGCCTTGTCCTTTGTGTGCGTTCTTTGGTTAAAAACGACGTCGTCGCCGGTCTGTCTGACAGTGCGGTTAAATCCGTGGGTAAATAATTAAATGAAAAATACACGCGTAATAAAACATAATGTAATACTAGCAATATAAAATATGCGCCTGCACGGGACTTTTCGGCGTCGTGTTTTTTCGCCCCTTTAAACAATGTAAACATTGTCGAGCAATGGTACTTTTACCGTATCCTTCCCCCACATACACACACAAAATCCCAAGCGTACCTGTATATTTTTATAAGGACTCCAAAAAGCAAACGTCGTGTGAAATAAAAGAAAACGTCTATAATGTTTATTTTCTTTTCTTTCCGTAGAAGCCGTTTGTATTATTTATAACAACAAATAAATGTTGTTTCAAAAAATTGTTTTTTTTTTTATTAACAAGCACCTAAATTTAATTCTTATTTTTGATATATTATTATCGTTGTGATCGAGCTAAACATTATTATATGGAATATCGCATGATAGTATAGTGTAATAAACGATCATAAAATGTAGGTGTAGGTACATAACAGCGAAAGCCGGAAATGAACATATTATTATAAACAAAGGCTAAAATCGAAGATAATTTTGATCCTTATTTCGAGTTTAATCAAACTTGATTTACCAATAGTATTTACCGCAAAATAAATAACTTCAAACACATAGCAACTATTTCTTACTATATCAGATATTACAGTCTGCCAAAAAGCGTAATTTTCTTTTGTGGGCGTTCAATTAAAAAACACTAAGTAACATTTTCCAAGGGTCATAAATCATATACGTAAATAAAAAAGTAATTATTTTTCTTTATGGACGTGTCATTGCGCATTTCAGCATACATTTTTATGGGTTATTATGAAAAGTTGCAGACATTTTACAACTATAAACTTACAATTAGTATTTCGAATAATATAATATCGTGTAATAATAAATGCTAACAATTACTCTACTCGGCGCTTATCAAATGAACGTCCGACGAATCTCGGTATTTATTAATATTTACCTCTTTTTTTTTACATTATAACCACTAGGGAAACATCGATCAAAAAATATAACCATGCTAAAACAATAACGCTTTGTATAAAATTTAATGGCGTAATAAAAACCTTGAGTTATGAATCTCTAGACCTTAAAAAAATAAATCGCCAACTTTTTAATTATTTCATTTGCTCGGAAGACTGACTTACGGGAATTTTTTTTTACTGTGTATCGATTAATATTGCAAAAAGAATTTATCCGCAGAAGCCTAATGTAATTTTACCACAAGCTTGTCAGTTTTTATAACGCTAAAAGCTTTTTATTGTAAAATATATTATACGATTTTTTTATTATTATTTTTTTTTTTTTACCTATTATATATTATATAATAAACACCCGTTTATGGCTAACGGGTCCGGGGATGAAAATACTACCGCAGCCTCATCGCCTACGAATGATGCTCACACTACACCAGTTATATACTTAACCGTGTCTGGCGCCATTACTTTTGCTCAAAATGCTCGGTATCAAGTTAAAAGCATATTATTGGATTTCGCGACGACGACCGCATTTAAACGAATTATAGGCCGATAATAACGTTGTGTCAACGTTCAAGTGAATATTATTGTGCATAAACACGGCGGTATAGACGCTATAATACAATACTGTTTGCTTTCCCAGCATGGCACTATTAAATTTCCATCGAACCACATCTGGTCTCTGTTAATATTTGTCTTCGCTTTTCGTTTATTCAATATTATGGAAACCAATAAGTCTTAACCCGTCAGCTGTTAATGATATTAGTTATTATGCGCAGTAGTAAGTGCCAAGATTAAAAAATATCAATGGGACAAAGTTTAGGAGCCATACAAAAGATTATTTTTTTTCTCTTCGACCTCATCCTACATCTTATATTTGTATATTAGTGCAGTCGATCAAATGAAAATTCGGCCAATAATTAATGTGGTATGGACGAGGACAGGTGACTGTTGATCACAGTATTGCTATACCGATTTGTGATGGGAATATCCGAATTATGTGGGTTTGATGGATGATCCGTTTTCAGATTAAATTTTGTATTTATCCAAGCTAATCGATCAAATAATGGTTTTAAATTATAACCTAGGTATAGATATGTCGGGTTGTTCGTTACAGTTTTATTACCAAACATGATTTAAACAACAAAAATTCAATTCAATTATCATAGATAATCCATCAAGTCTAGATTAAAATTTGATTCAAAATTTAAAATCCAGCCTTACTGAATACTTGGATATCATTCTTGTTTATACTACCTATGAAGTGCTACTTTTTTTTTGACTTGACTAATTTATATACAAATTGTAAATAAGAATTAAGTATGTCGATTGCTCGTGACCCACAAAATTCATCTTTAATTGTTACAAATGAAGTCTCTTAGAAAAATAAATAATTTTCAGTATACATTTAATACATAACATTTTCAATTTTAACGAACAAAAAACTTATATTACGAACAAATGAAAATATAAACCAACTTTTTTTTAATATTAATTATATTGCTTACACACGGTTATTTCACTCGTTATTAAGAAAATCTTTAAACATTAAATAATTATTTTATTTAAAAATAAAATATTAATTCTGAATTATTTAATTTCGATCTTCAGCTACATTTTTTTTTTTTTTGAGAAAGCTTTACTAGATTATATACTTTACATAGACCGATCAATGTGTTGAGCTTTACAGTCATTAATATTGACATTCTGAGAACATGATATTTATTTTTTTGTTTATTAGCAGAGGGGTACGTAAGGGGACCGTTTCTCACATTATTCTCCCCCATAAAGAAAACCATACCGTCTGCAGCCATCGAATATGGATTTAATTCAGCGATTTACGTAATCGACTTGCTCTGGGGTCGAGTTGACCTTCGGCCCACGGGTATTGTGACAAGATATAAATATATTATTAGTTTTTTTAATTAAAATAAAAGTTTTATTCTTAGAACGAAAATACAGCTTGTCGTGCTAAACCGGTATTATTAGATACATACATCTGTCGGGTGTTGTTCTTGTTGTTGTCGCTGTGTTGCCCGTGACGCAATCCAAGTAATCGTCATCCCTCATAGTTAGACCAACACGCCCCCGTAGGTTGTGCCGCTAAACTTGACCTTACCACATATTATATAAGTAAGGCAAACGATGTATAAAGGAACAACGATACACCCCGGGGCTGTAAATTCAGCTCTCGCGCCCACCATCGGAATTCTTATAAATTATGATAGTCTTGCCCAGCTAATATCGGCTTACATAAGACCCTCGACCCTCATAAAACTGTCTGGTTTGTTGTGGTCATAAGTGTGGGTGCTGGGGCATAAAAACGAAAATTGACATTTAGGATATTATTAAACACCGTTTTGATGTATTTTAACAGCTGTATTGCGCGTTTATGTGTAGTTTGGGTTCAGTGTGATAATACAATTTTTTTTTTTTATTATTATTCATTTCAGAAACACTCTCCGGTCGAGAGTTTGCTAGATCCCGTCTCCATTGCAGACAAAGACGAAACCCAGCGATCGGTCAGGAAGAGCGCCGTGATGTTCAACAAAGCAGACATTACGACAAGTGAGAGCCGCCAGGATTTTACTTTGTGATAATTATTTCACTAAATATTGCAGACGATTTATTTAGATTAATAAATATGTCTGATAGGGTAAAGGTTTGATTTTTAAATCTAGGCGAAATACATCTGGAGATCATACACAATAAATAATGCAGTTTAGATATTTTGTTAGTTATTCAGTTGACAAAAGATTTCAAGAAAATAACCATTTTTCTTTTTAAATTACCACACTTATATTAGAATATCATTGATAATTCACGGGTTGACGTCAAAACAAATCCGATTTCACCAATCGAAAGAGTATGCAAGTTTTCTCAAGTTTTGTAGAAAAGTATTACTATTAAACTGTTTAAAAACGAGACGTTAGGCAATTTCCGTTCGACATGTTACTGTTAAAAAACGTTCATACTTACTAAATGTTTGGCCTTAAATGACCGCAAATACTATACTATGTCATCTCAATTTATAGTACGTTTAATATCCTCTTAAATGAATTGATACTAGACGTATAGTTAAATTGTTCCACTCTCCCTTTCCTAAACCACCTTAATATTCGTATACGTAATGCGTAATGCTTCCACGTGTGCCATTAAGACTTAATGAAAACGCATGTTTCGCAATCAGTAAAATATAATGAGGATGAAAACTAAAAGAATACGGATAATTACATAAGTTTGTAAAAAAAAAAAAAAAGCTAAATTAATCATTCGTAAAAAATATATAAACATAGGTATACATGTAGGTAGGCTGCAGGTGTTAGTTAAGATTAGTAATTAGTTCAGTTTTAGGCGGTACTCATTAGAGGGGCTTAAACAACCCGAGTAGGTCGTTTGAACGAACTCTCAGGTGTATTTTACGGTAACTCGCTCAATTCATTTACTTTGCAATATTAGCCGGAGCAAATTGATCGGCTTAAGACGATCGCAGCACCCTTTTCGAACAAACTAAAACGATTATCGTATCCCCCGATCATTAGTTTTCCCCCGGGATCGACGACCGCGAAAAGTTCCAAACGAGTCTGGCAATTATTTTTTAATGAAACCTAATAGAGCCGAACGAATAAAACGGTAAATTATCCAATAACACGATGCCATTCGAAAATAAACTTTTATAACACACCGTTAAACACCCTCGTGGGACGATTCGGTCGTATCGTGGTAACGATGATATTATTATTATTATTATCAAAAAGTAGTGCCTTTCATAATGATACATTATAGTGTACAATTCGGTGAATTTGATTTCACAATTTCTCGAATCTCTAACGATTAAACGACAACCGGGTAAAATAATAATATTTTCGAAAATGTATTGTATCCCCAAAAACAGCCCGCTTAACGGGAACAGGTATTGTTCGTTGTTGGCCAATGAAATATATAGGTACTATTAAGTCAACCGTCATTCGCTCCTACCGGATTGCGTTTGTACTCTGCAGGCAACGACGCCGCAGTTATTGTTTTTACTTTCATTATTATTATTATTATTACTTTGGGAGTTAACGCCAGACGTCCCGGGAAAAACCAAACAATATTAATATACGCTTAATCGGATTTTCCACCAAAACGCAGTGATGTAAAACAATATTTTATATACGGTCCGTCGATCCACCCCCAAACACTGCAGTAACGTACCTACATTATAAAATCACAGATAACATTACAGATGCTTGATAAAATTCCTTTGATCACACTGTAGAACAGAAGGATTATTTTTTTGGTCATGCTGATCTGAGATTATTAAAGTTTGTTTACATTTTTAGATTTTTTAGAGTGCATTTTCTGGTTTTATTTGATCTGTGATAATATCGTGTATCTGCTATATCATAAAAAAGTTAAGTTAACGTCGCGCGTTGCATTAATATAGTATAGTTATGTTTATAGTTTTTTAATGTAAAATATCACAACGCTGTAAGCATTCCGTCACGGTTATTGTTATTATTGCTATTATTATCGTCGTCGTCACAAAGCGTGCATTATCTTTATATTACAAACAAAAGGGATTACCGGCGAGGCACTAATTTCTGGTCCATTGTTTTCCAGCGACTCAACCGAGTAATATTGTAGCGTCGCTTTTCCGGTTGAACGAAGAAGAGGGCACCACCTGCATCCTGCTCAGGGTAGACGCCGTCATAGAAGTGAAATTCAAAACAAAACTCGGCTCCGAAGACGTAAGTGCATAACTATATTAATTAAGTTTTGTACGGTAACAGCATCGAGTGAGATGCCTGTGAAGGCAGTGATGACAACGAAGAAATTAATGAAAACTCTTATCGACGATAAAATGATTGGAATGACAATGTAAATTAATTTATCCTCCAAGTCTAAAAACGACGTTTCTTAAAAATGCTTTCATCGTTTATACGTCTAATACAAATATTTTATTTGTTTATGCGATTTTGTACCACTGTAAACATATTTTCATTAAAAATGTCAAACGCCCGTGCGTCGGTCCTACTTGTTTTCCATTTAAAGATAAGATTTCAATAATAATTAAAGCTATATTAAGTTTAATCAATTTTTATATCTATCCGTTCAATAAAACGAGATTAGGTTTATCATGCAATCCTCCATGTACAAGATTATCAATCATAATTCCATCGATCAGTTATTCGATCAGTTTAATATTGCGTTTATTGATTTTATACTTTGATTCGCAGCAAACCGACCTGTATGTTCCTGATGACGCCGAAGTCAGCGGAGACTGCAGCAACGAGGACGATGCCACGCTAATACTCAAATGGAAAAATTTTGTATTCACTTGGTACTTCACAAAGGTAATGGTGGACTATTAAAAAATAAACAAACACGCATTCGGTATGCGTGTTAACCTCATTTATTGTAATACCACTTTTGCGGACAATGTCGGTTGTGTAGACTAGACACAAGGTTACACGACATTCGTTTTAAAAACTTTTGTCCAAAAATGGTTTTCAAAAAATTTTTATGACACACTAGTCGAGTAGTCAACAGTTCATACAACGTAACATTAATACTTTCAAACTGCGTTTTTTTCGTGTGAGCACGTGTTTTCTTGACTTCATCGAGCTTAAGACTTTTGAGATATACACCTAATAAAAAATATCAATTTTTTTTTAAATTAAAAATATATTGTTTCGGTTTTGCTACATTTTTCAGTCTATTGAAAAACAATAAAAACGAAAACCATTAGCGAGTTGCGTTTTGACGAAATTAAATATTTATAACAGAATGCGCACGAATAGCCATCGATAGGTTCATCATTATTTTAGGTTCAGTGGCCGATAGCAATCGGTGTAGGCTTCCATATACGCCCACGTGTGTACTTGGATTTATTGACAACTATATTGTGATGCTAATTAATGTTGCAAGTGGTTTTCAACTGATGTACTACATTTGGCAGAGTATTTCAATGAAGTGGTAGTACCTCGCTGTGCAGGGTGAAACCGAAATCTTTGTGTTTGAAATCCTCAGCTGCCGCTCATTACTTACCCACTAATTTTCTTTAGATCATGTGCCGTTACTCTTGTAGTATTTTATGTGATATCAATTTGGTCGTGCGTTGCATTTACCTCAAGTAAATTAATAACTTTGCGTTTATAGTTTTCCTTTATCATTGTCCCTATATATTTCCACTCGAATATTTTTTGCTTGCCGCCGCGCATTTCAAACTGGGTTTCGTGGTTAAATTTAAATTTCAGAGCATTCGCTTAAAAATATAATTTAAAACCTTCACACCAGCCTTCCTCGTATTATTCTCAATTACTTCTGAAAATCCTTTTCTAGGTCGTACTTTACCTTTTTTCCTGTTCACGAATTTCGCCATTACTCATATTTTTTGGTTTTTATGTTCCTCTATTTTATACCATGTCAAATCTTCTCAATTTATTATCTTTTATTATACCAGTTAGTTGTATTTTTTAGCTACCTATTTCATACATATTCATGAAATTTATTCATTCCTTTTGTAATACTTGACAAATCGTTTGTTTTCTTGTGTGTATTGACTAATGTTTTGTGCTACATAACAGCACTGCCGCTTTCGCATTAATTTCTTTACTCTTATCATTTTATCATTAACCTTTTTAATGGTTTGTCTCTCTTTAAAGTTAAACTCGTTTTTGTTAATTCTTAATATTTTAAATCTCTTAATTGTGCCTTTATTACTTACTCGTATCGCATAATATGTTCAGTTTTTGGAGGTCGTTTGTGTTACTGACGTTTAATTTTAATTATTGTTTGTGCTGTGCATAATATTTCTGATAACACGTCTAGCTTTAGAATTTATAATTATCAAAGCGCAGACGGCTACCGTAATAGCATTTATATCTAAAAGCATCATAGTGACGCTCTTTGCCTGGACTCGTGTGCTTTGATGATTCCGCCAAACAGAGCATTTCCGTTAATTATTAATAATTATAATTTTGACAGCCCAACGTTTGTGTGTGAATTCAATATCCTTTGTACAATCCAGACGTAATTATAGGAACTGATCAATATTATCATAACGTACATTTCTCGTTACTTCCACGACCGTTTTAATTGGCCGAACCGTTGCGAGTTGCTAGCTATAGGCATTAATTATTATTATTGAAACACTTTTGAGTGAGATGCATTAACCGTTGGCGCTACATTCAAAATAGCACTACTGAGTGGGCCTAATAAAGCATTTCGAATGATCACACAACATTATTTTCACCGACAAATAAAGTATGTTTCATTGGTCTATCCACAGAAATGTATATGCGTTGCAACTAGTTTAAAAGTATTTTATCGATTGAGTGCCACAACCCGATCCGGTCATGTAACTAAAGCAAGCAACGAAGCTGTTAATTTCCTAACTACCTGCTAGACTATATCTCCTACTCTGATAAAATTCCCGAGTTTAATTTCGACGATTCTCGCTTTCACTTGATCCGACAACCTTCTAATTTTCCACCATTCGTTAAATGTTTTATTCAATAGCATACTTTCTAGAGTTTTAGGATTATACACCCATGCTGCATTTCTAAATCGAATTTAACCGCCTCGGTACGAGCACGTGATCTTGCATTTTGATGTAGACACATTAAAATGTGCTCTACTTCGAATACCGCGCGCTGTATATTATTTGCTTTACGCTATTCGACATAGCACGTCAGCCAATCGTTTTTTTTTTGTTTAGCTGTCATTGTTGTTTATTAGAATAAACAGCGAATTTTAAAACGTTCTTTGTTTGCTCGGGTTGGCACACTCCATTCCTCTCCCTTGTACGATGCGTATCTGGGAGAAAAAACACCAAGACACCAGACAATCGCCGAGAAGAATAATATTATTTCGTCGTCACCGCACGCGCTTTTCACTATAATGGATGACGTTGTGTCGAGAGACAACAACACTGCTGTGTTTGTACACATTGTACGAATTGTGCGTCAAACAAGCACACCGAATTATGTACTTAAGCGGCAACCTCGAAATTGCGTCCCTTCGTTGGTATTCCGTTTGTATTTTTTTTTCTTTTTGTAACAAAGACGTTTTAATTTCACCACCGTTGATTCTGCGAAAATATTTTATGAAATGCGAATAAGGTGACACATATTTTATCAACTGGGAATATTGTCATAACGGGATTAAACGGTCGCGCGAAAACCAACGCTGTTTATACTGAGAAAACGAATAATGACAGATTTTGCCATTGTTCTCGATCCGCAGCACCCTGCTGCGAAACCCGCAGTGCATGATTATTAAAAAAAAAAAACATTTAATTTATAATCAAAACGAGGCGAATAATTTCGTGTCCCAGTACAGACCGAACACAATTTAGCTGTTATAGTTTTGTGCTTCCGACCCGTTTAACTCGATTTGGCCAGTAATTTGCGACCGCAGTAGTCGACTTGTTGTCCCGACCCAGAAACTATTTCCGGTAAATTACTATACCGGTGCTTTACTCTGTTTTGTTTGCAGACGTTGGGCGGCGAGAGATGGTTCGTTAAGGCTTTGGAACTGGAGATCAACACGGCCGACAAACATTTCGAACATATCAAGACCAGAGGTAAGATACGTGATGAATTAACGTTGTTTTTTTCTTTGCCGTTTTTCCGACATGCACGTCCCATCGGGACTGAGATTCCGCAAAGAGAACCGGATGAACCCTTAAGCCCAATTGCATCCGACCTCGTGGGTGTTTCTGTGGAAGCCCGTGATTTTGCTCTCCAAAGTCTAAACGTATAAACCTGTCAGAAACCTCCCGGCTCAGAGGGCGGCTATTTACAGAATCACATAAATTTGAATGATGAATATTATGTCTGAAGCACTAATCTCGTGAGCATATTATAGTCCGCTCATACCAGCATCCTCTTGGGTATTCTATGTATAGTTCTTTCCAATATTGATACAAATAGTTATAAAAAATTAATTAGTTTAACACCCATCTGACTGGATATTGTTTAATTTATAAAACAAAATGTGATAATAACAATTTAAACAATAATTAAAAATAAAAATGTTTTAGAATTAAAACTAAGAACATCTATAAAATTGTGCTTTTAGTTAAATAAAGTACCATATATTAATTAAAATAATTTTAGCCTCAAAAAGTAAATGAAAAGGTATTGTTTTTACAATAATAAGTTTTAATTTTAATTTGTTTGTGACGGCATGATATCTTCTAAACCTTTGAACCGATTTCTTCATGAAGCAAGTCTATAGATCATTAATAGATATAAAGGCGCTTTATTGAGCCAAAATTTAAAACGTCACCTCTTTCCTTTTAAAATCGAGAAAAACAACAAAAAAATGACATATTTTTCAACTTAAAACTATGGTGTGTTATAAGTCTTTTATAAAATTAGTCAATCTAGTTCTAAATCAGTATGTAATATTTTTTTTACAAGAAACTACCGTTAAACGGCGATAAACCAAAAAAAATACCATAATTCTTTTTCCCTAAAAAGGGTAAAAACGTTTTCTTTTTTTCTCTTTTTCTAGTGATTTTATCATAATTCCTAAAACCTTTGACCTCGTCGATCTCACTGTGATGGCTTTTATATTTACATAAATTTAAATATTACATAAGTTAAGTTTTTTATATCTAACTTAAATAGTATAAAAATTATTAATATTACAATGGTTGTTTAGCTTTTAATTTGTTGTAATAAAAAATTGTATGTATGAATATTGAAGACATCGGTATGGATACGTTTGTTTAGCTTAATATTTAGCTAAACAAATATGGATAAGTATTAAAGAAATGTATACTATAAAGATGCCGTTTTGATATGAAAACTGAGGTAAAAAATAATAACAAACTTTTATTTTAAAAATGGTTGTGTTCCGATTTATATTTTATAAAATATTATAAAAGTTTTGTTCTAGAATTATAATTATTTCGAAAAACTGTAACTATAAAACCAAGTTTCGTGGGAAATTTTATTTCAAAACTTATGGTTGTAACTTTTAAATTAAAACTAATTGCGAATTTTCAAACAAATCTTAGTTGTAATCCTTTTTTAAACTTTAGTACGGATTTTGTTCGTCAATCATTCCTTTAGTCTTCTCGTTGAATTCCTTAGATAAAAACGCCGACCGGTCACCGTGGCTTAACTCTGCTTTACGCGAAAATAATGGTTCGACGGTTTATTAGCATGGTAAGGTATTTAAATACTAAAACGTGGGTAGAACGAAGAGATAATTCTCAGGAAAAGTTTTTCCCTTCAAAGACCGAAAAAGTTTGCCTTTAGAATTTCCGGTTTTTCTTTTTTTATTTCGTTTTAACACCGGCGAAGTTCACCGATTCGAATAAATGCGCAATATCCGTCATTTCATAATTTCTCGGTCCATTTTAATGTGGTCAAATAATAATTTCTTCCAGACGGTTAGCCGAGTTCGTTTTAAAACCGAATTAATAATTCAAACCGTCAGAAAGTTTTCATCGACGACCCGGCGGCGCATTGTATAGGCAATATTACCACTCGAATGCGTTGCAGACGATTTATTTTGTATTTTATATAGTTTTAAATAGCTTATTTTCACAAATCAACAAAAAAAAATGTATTATTTTGGGTTTTTTATTTTAAAAAAAAATTCTCTGGAGACCCAAAAGCTGACGTATGCATAGTGTACTTTTTTGGAGGATAATATATTAACATTTTATAAACTATACAATTAATTTTAATACATTTTTGCATATTTCGTTTCACATAAGACCTACAGGTACCATATTATGTGACACAAGAAAATATATATACACACTTAAAATACCCATAACATGTGAAAATTCAAAATTGTACTTTCTTGCTTTTAGCTTTCAACGCTGAATTTACTCAGAGACTGCACGAATAACAATTGTATAATTATAATTGTGTAATATGTATACACAGATGTATCAAGTAAAAACAGGGTACCTTAGGTTTTAAAATCCTTTTAAAAAAAAATGTATTTACTATACATGTTGCATGAAAATCAAGACAATAATAGAAGACAAATATTGTTAATTAAGCTTTTCAAGTCTGCCAGCATATATGTTAAAAGTGAGTGAAGTAAAATCAAAAAAGGCCTAATTAACATCACTAAGGAGAAATTATGTGAAACAACCCACGTTGTAAATATTTCGTTGTCGTGAAAATATTTAATAAAAATTTATCGTGTTCGGCTGTAATAATTAAGTTCAACGACCAAATGAGCAAAGTACTAAAATATTAAAAGTGAATAAATAACCAAACCACGAGGCTATTATAATACATATTACATTATTCATGATTTTTTCCACTTATGATTATGACTAATGACATAATAAAAAGTTACAATCCTAAATTTAGAGTTTTCAAAAAAAGGTTTATCTACCAATATATTTTTTTCATCCATTATATAAAACATTAATTTTAACAGTTTCATTGTCAAAATACTTTTTAGGCCTTTTTTTAAAAAAATAATTTTTTGTATAATTTTTAATTTTAGTTCTGGCGTGATGAAACAAAAACGTATTGTTACATACTGTACGTTAAATTAATTATCACAGCAAAACTTAAAAATGCATGTAAAATAAAACGAATTCATTAAGTGCCAATATTAATAAAAAAAAAATGTTTTTCTTTGCGTTCAATTGTTGTTAGTAGTGTTACCAAAATCGTTTTAGCACTGTAAACTGCAATCGTCTCGGATTGGATTATATTTCGTTTAAAAGACAAATGCCACTAAACTCGTTTCAAAAATGGACCGATTAAATTAATTAAAAAAAAAAAAAAAACGATGCCGTCTATAATGGAATTGTGTTATTCGTTTTCATTTTATTTAATCTCCCCCCCCCCCCACCAATTTTTTTTTTATCTTTATTGAAATTTAATTTGCTTCTAGCTCTTAATCAAGTTTCTTTTCGTTTCCCCTTCGGTATTAATATTTGCGTCTCGTCCTTTGCCCTTTTTACTGGGATCACGTTGTACGAGTTAAAAAAAAAAAAAAGAAACAACTGTGGTCTTTGAACAAATAAGATTATCTACGGTTCCGGGAAAAAAAGTTTTTAATTCGGTTATCTTTCCGGCCGGTTGTGTTTTTCTTATAATTTCGTGTACTCTCGCCAGCTTGTCCCCAAAACTCGATTTACTTACCTTTGGCGATCTGTTGTCACGGCATTATACAAATATCATTAGCGACAGACGCCCTCCACCCCTCTGCCGCCCCGGTCCGATATTCTCGTTTATTGTAATTAGTATCGTATTGTTTTTTTTTCTCGCACCCCACCCACTCCCCTCGTCGTCGAGAAACATAAAACAAGCGATCGTCGAAACGATAATAATTTACATTTAGATTACATTTAAATTTCTAATACCCGTCCGAAGAGCAAGCAGATATCCTCACCCCCTCCGTCTAGAGTGTTAAGCGCCCCATCTTAGCAGCACATTCGAATAACATTGAAATAACCCTTAGGACACCCCTCTCGTCGCCGGCCCCCCCGCAGGTTGACAAATTAATGAACGCTTTCCCTTTCTTGTCACCTCCAGCCCGACTCGGCCGGCACTTACGCCCACGTTTGGTGTGATCCGTATTGTGTAAATTGTATAGGTCCCTTTTTTATTTTTTTTTAACGTTTTACCCTTTTTGCGCACCATACCATATCCGTTTGGGCTTGCGACCACATAATGTAATAAATTCGCCTAACCGCTAGACGTGCCCCGCTGGGGTGGTTTCACACCCTCGTTGAATCACATACACACATTGTATGCATAACATACAATAATACTATCGCTGTTATCGTTCGTTGCATTAAGGTGTGGTCGTGGTGAAAAAGTGTTATTATTATCACTGATTAAAAATGTTTTACTTTTTATTTATTTCCTTACAAATTAGAGATATTTTTGGAGGTACGCTGATAATAACCTAACCTGATTTTACAGTAATAGTTATGTTATTATTAGTTTCTAGTTAGAATAACTCCAAAACAGTGTTAATCTACAAAAACTGATGTTATATTTTGAACCATTACCATTATCTTAGTTTTTTCAAATTCGGTTTATTTAAAATTATTTCTATAATTTTTTTTTTAATATTATGCGATTTTATAATTTTGCGTACCTACTAAAATGTGTTGTACTGATAAAATACCCACTAGTCAATTTTGAACACTTAAATTTGGAAACTTCAAAATCAAAACTAACACAAGCGTAAAATTAATTGGAAAACAATTTAATTAAAAAATTTATTTATTTTCTCAGGAGGTTTTTTTTTAGTGAATCTACGTGGGACACGTGTTTTGTGATTAATTTAGGTGAACTCGCTCTATGATGTTTAACGCCTACTGTGGATTTTTTTAAGACATTTCTATGTACATTGTTTTTCCTCTTATGTTCGTTTCGAAGACGGCTGATTATTGTTGGCAAACAATACAGTTATTCTTATTGTATTATTTTTGTTCCAATTCGCCAGTTTCGAATCGCCAAGCGTTTTGTCTTTGGTTTTTTTTTACACCGAAGAAAGGTCAGGGGAAATTGTCCAAATAACATTGTCCAGTTTCATGTCGTACGAGTAAACATAACTTTGTAATATGTTTGGACCATTTATACAGTTCTAACGCAATTATTTTGTCATTCTCGTTGGGCTTACGCTGCGGTTTTTATGGGATCCGTAATTAAGTTTTCGGATGGATTCGTTTGTCCCTCAACGACGGTATACCTATATAGCCCTACTGGAGCCGGACGGCATGATCCTTTTATAAGCTACTTTAGCTGTCGGTCAACAAATTATTCGTCCCTCTTTACAAAAAAAGAAGAAGTAAACGATCGATCGACGCCAATAAAAACTATACTGTTGGACGTTATTTAAAAAAAAAAAACGCAAACCGAGTAAAACCCGTATTGTAGGCCTTTTTAGTACCATATAAACGTGGGCATCGGCCAGAGTCTGTCCAAACATCACCTGTCGGTTAGATTACAGAAGACAATAATATATATCACGTAGTAGATAGTAAACGATGACGTACAGAAGACCACACCCTTAACAAAGATGCGCCGGAAAAGATAAAACGACAACATAATAATAGTAGGAAATATATAATACAGCGAAAACGATAACAAAGGATGTGTGCCGATGGTATTATGTTATAATCCCTTGTACAACATTTGTGTTTATTTTTCTTCCTGTACGATAAGGCCTGTGTATTATCATCTGTTCTTTTATTACCAACATCCGCTATTGGTTAAATAATGAAATAAATTATTAATGACCCAACCGCAACGTGTCGGTATTATCTACATAATATAGTAGATTGTTTTTTTGTTTTTAAAGAGATCATTTCTTTTTTATACAAAAAATTATAATATAATTTACATAAATACCTCAATGTAATAATTGAAATTAATAAATGCAATAGAAAGCTTTGACTGGAGCGTGATTTTATTAATTGGCTTAAAACCATAAATGGTCAAAGTGTCTTGAAACGTTTAACGGTACAAAAACAGCTTTTAAAATTACGTTTAAAAGTTTGAATTATTGATTTTAATTAAGCAGCACTTAAACAATATTAACCAACTAACGAAAATGAATATTTATTATACACAAAACTAAGAAAGTAACGAACATAATATTATATTAGCACAATTAAATAAAACAATCAGATTAGATTTAAAGTTTATTTCTAAATGGTCAGTATTCTGTTTCGAAACATTTGCTCAACATCCTTTGCAACAATAGTTCGGTAAAATTGTTTTAAAAGTTAAAAATTAAGGGCGCTATAAAACTGTGCAAAAAGAATAACTGCAAAATGTCGGGAACACGCACACGGTGTCAGGATAAGCACTGATAGTTCTAAGCGCTGACTTTTCTATTTATTTTGTCAAAACTTTTCATTTCTCCGATTTATATCACACAAGCGAGGTCACACACCTTATTACTTTCCTTTTATACTTTTTCGCATCATGTATGTATCCACTCAACGCACCTCCGTCTCCATTAATAACAACCATTCATTTTTTCTTCTTTCGCTTTTCTTTACACCACTTATTTTCTTTGACAGCTGATACTCCATTTTACTTGTATTTCTTTAAAAACGCTCAATCGTAAAATGCCGTTTTTTTTTTGCAAACTTCCTCTCAGTCCTTTTAATTATGTTTCTACTGGTCGCTCACACATTTTTACTAGCCATCGAATAGTGTTTTCTCAATTTTTTAATGAGACTTTGAAATCGATTTTTTAATGAAAAGAGTAATATTAGAACACCCGATAGAGCCGATGGACGTGGGTTTATCACGCGACAACCGTAGGTGTAATAGCGTTGTATTTGTAACAAAACACTTTATACAGTACTAAACGTCAATATTATTATCTGTTATAAAAAACACCGTGTTTCAAGTGTTAATTTGACACGAGTATGTCTTATGTCTATCGAAAATTTGCGCCACGCGTCATAAGTTTGTTTTAACCTAACCTGAATTTGTGACATTAAGAGAACAGCGATGATCAAGTGATAGGGGGGAGAGGGGAATAGAACGAGAATAGAGGACAGGGGTGGATAATAGAATAGGGGAAGGTAAAACAGAAAGTGGGGGGGGAGAAAGCAATACATTTTTATTTCGAATTATAATAGATAGAGTGATGAGTTGGAGACTGTAGATAGAGCGAGGGGATGAAAATGAACCTGAACACGTATTTGATGTGACAGGGCGCGGTTCATCTGTTATATTAAAATTCCTTCTTATAAGACATATTCGTGATTCAACGTTTCAGGAGAAAATTGATTGGTGTTTATCTTATTTTCTCCACAGACAAGATCGTGAGATTGTCGACGACAAGCAGCTACAGCGCACTGTTGTTCATGACGCCGGTCGGCCAATCTTATTCGTGTCAAAAGGAAATCAGCGTTGTGCTCAGCGACCAGAACGTGCCCACGATAAAAGGCTACGTGTTGCTAAGGGCCTTCACCGTGCAACCGTTTATATTCAAAAACGACGAATTCGGTCCAGGTGAGTTACACTCAGCACATTATGGTACTATACTCAAACCGTTTGTCCGTCGGATTTTTTTTTTAAATACAATAATCAATTCATTCGCGGGTGCGGTTATGATGACGTGCGCCAACCCCGCTGAGTCCTATATAGTTTTTCTAGAAAAAAAAAAAAAATTATAATATTTCATACATTATACGAACAGCTGTCGCTTTCAATCCTTGGAGCTGTGAGTGTACAACGCCTACGCTTTTCGTTTTGCGAACTCACCGGCTAGCGTTACAAAAAAAAAAGAAAAGAAACGATGGGTGTGTGGGGGAGAGGAGAGAAATAAACGCCTCCGCATCGAATCAAAAAAATATAAAAAAACAGTAAAAGTTGTGAGTTCCGACAAAAGCGCAAAACTTTAGTTGTTAAGCAATTCCGGACGTCACGAATTTCGTGTCGTATTCAGCGATCCCGGAAATGAACTCTTGGCAAAAAGGTCGGTAATATTAGTTTATTTCCTTATTCGAAACGGCAGCGAGTCCCATAAATGTAAGGACGGCGGTGTACATTTGTATTATGCGTTTCACCATAAACGATTTACGCCGGGGGAAAAAGCAAAACCGTTTGATTGGAAAACTTATCTCGACACGAATGATCATGTTATAGTCACAAAAACGGAAACGAATCGAGTTTTTAAAGTAAATACTTGAAGATAACTTGACTCTTGAGTCAATCGACATCGTGTTTCAGATGCTGTAAGAAACAACAAATCGTCCACTTACCTTTAATGGTCGCTTTAAGGGGATTGCCTGCGGTCTGTTGTTTTGACGTTTTAGACCAAAAAGCCAGACGAAATTTTGGCTACTTAGAATGTGCCGATTTAAATTTCGTAAAGATATACGATTTCTTTGGCAACTTAACTAGGTTATAAGAGAGCCGATTTTCATTTAAAAATGTCAGTTTCTTGTAATTAAGTAGAATAGAATGGTCCTATACGAGGTAGCTCTAGACAAAGATAACAAATCGATTAAAATGTTGGTAGTGTTATGAAATTGATTAGGTTAGAGAAAGGAAGAATTCACAACTGAAAGGTAATGGAATAGAATATGAGTTATAACATGAAAGAATGGTATGAGTAAAATGTGACGTTTTATTTTTAAGAAGTTGAACAGACATCAGACGCCATGGGGTGGGAAAATATGGCAAGTAGTAATATTCAATAACCGAGTTAATATAGCTTAGATTATTATTCTACTGTGCCGCCTTTCATAAACGCCGGTTGGGATATAAAACGCGACAGTTAATTAAAAGGCCTACGACGTTTAATAATGTTTTTTGGTCGTATAACGTTAATTAACTCCTAACGTTGATCCGACTCCCTCTAAAAGCGCTTTATACATCAATCGCAACACGTTGGAGACATTTCGCTCGAGTCATCGAGTAAGTGAAAAATAACACAAGGCGCAGTAGTAGTAAGAATAATGGTGCGGAAACGAAGAAAATAGTCAAAGACAGTTGAGGGTTTTTCCGTAGACCATATTGATTGCAGATTGAAGTATAACAAGCGAAAAAAAAAATTAGAAATATTTAGTGAAAAATACTAAGACTAAGCTTTAAAAAATAAACTACTATTATAGGTGAATTACGTACAGCCAGGCTGGGACTGGATTTAATTTGTAGGACTATAAAATAAAGCGACGGAATAAGCCGATTAATATTGTTAATGGATGTTTAACATCATGCCGGCAATTGGTTCACTCGGGGCACTGACGTTTTCGCGGAAATTCCACTTAGGTCGCATGCTGGGGACGTGAAACTTAATAAGATTATTTCAATAATCCAAAGACCGGATGGGTGGTATTCTCTATGGACTATATTTATTGAGGAGTTACCGTCGTTCGAGTAGCTCTTTACACGCAGTAATAATATTCACCCGTCGTGTCGTCATAATAATGTTATAACCTAGCGAATCGAGGCGTCTATGGTAAATCATGGTCGTTAACCGCTTTTAACCGCACAATTATTAGCTATCTTAAGCGTGGAGTTAATTAAAATATTATAGTATTGCCCTTGTTGCGGTAATTAGACAGTAAAATTTCGGTTTAGCTCATAAGAGATTGACCTGCCAAATAAAACTTGGATGATCTTTCTTTGGGGATACCTAAAGGAAAAAGTTTTTAAACATCGTCCACACAACCTGGAAGAACTTAAGATGAGAATTAGGGAGGAAATAATGGCCATACCCATCCGAATGTGCGGACAAGCGGTTGAAAACTTCAGAAATTGCCTTCAAGAGTGTATCGTTGCTGACGGTCGCCATTTTAGTGATGTAATCCATAAAACTTGATGTAAGAAACTAGATTTTCTATTGAGTCGAACAATATAAACCTCATTTCTTTAAGTTAAGTAGTTTTTTTTCTGCAGCCTTTCAAAACTGATGCATATCATTTGCCCCATCCTGTATTATTGAGATTGCTAAATGTTTTGATTTTGATTTTAGTTACCAATTTCCCAGTACCCGTCTTAGAAAACGTCTCTACCTAGGTTAATCCATCAGAACTACTTAAAGTACGTCAAGCTCTAAAAAATACAATAGTTCACCATGGAATCCAATCAAGATTGAAGACTCTTAAATTTACGATAAAACCAAAACAAAAAACCGTGGACAAATGCATCGTAAAATTGCCTGCTTTTCTGTGTGATAAACCGTAGAATCAGACTTTGCTTGTTGTTAGTTATGATAAATAACTAACATAAAAAGATTGATTCGGTTTTCTTTGAAAATCGTTTTATATTAAATAAATAATTCATGCATCTACGCAGTATTTTTTAGCTTTACCGTCAAACCGTTCCGTTGCTCAAAACTGTCCGAACTAATAAGGCACAAAATCATTTTCAGTGGTTTCTTTCCCGGTTAGTAAATCCCAACGTAATGATATTAACCATGAAGTCAAAAAATGTCGGGCCTTAAACTTTAATTTTATTTGTTTCAGCACAGTTTCCCAGTTATAGTCTGTTCTGCTGTAGCTTCACCGACGTGACTTACCGGTGTACCACGATTTTTTCCCCATTGTTTTCTACCCCATCGTCCCCTTGCCACTAAACCATGTAACCGCATTAGCAAACACAGGTCCTCCCCTTGATCCACGGCCGCCCCCAATGAGTACTACTATTTAAAGGGATAGTTTTATAACTTTTATCCGACCGCAACGTTATAGTTGTTCATGGAACAAATTTCATTAGACTTTCGACCATTATCATCCGACTGTGGTGTTTATGTATGTTTATTTTTCGTAGGCCGCATCGCAATTAAGACATCAATTAAACAACAGCCGCTGATATAAAACGTTGTTTTAAAGTGGAAATTCGTATGACGACATTAAATAATACATATTTTGTCATAATGTTATTCAACACGTTTATCATGCATTAATTTTATAGCGATTGTTTGTGACTAAAATGGCAACAGCTGTCAGACTGTTTTCGTTAAATGAATACATTTTTTTTCTAGTAAAATTGACATTACTTTTTGTTGCTGTGAATTTCCTGTTTGTGAAAGTTCGCTGTCTGAAAATTATTATTATTTTTTTTTTTAAATAGTTGCCAACGTATAAACTTAACAGCGACGGTGTAGAAGTGTTATAATTACCGGTCGACAAATTGTCGTTGGCTAATCATTGCTGGCTGTGATAAGGGTCAAATCAAAACGCAATTTCGTTTTCTAGTAATTCGAAACTTAATGTTTTCGATGAAAAGAGGTGTGATTTTATCTTTTATGAAGACTGAGGAATACTTAATATACGATTGAGATTACTGACCAGTCGAAACTGCGCGTGCATTGATCTATTATATAGGCTATCGCGTTCAATGATTTCCATCGGTATTATCGGTGACATTAAGTTATCTGGATGAAACATTATTAGTAATTTTCATTTTAAGAAAAAGCGAAATTTCCCGACGACATTCTTGCGCAAAAGCGATTGGTCGACTTTGTAAAAACATGTTTCGAATGATCCAAAGAGTGTACTACACTGTACGGTTGTTTTGAATAATTTAACCAAAGACTAAAGGTATTTAACAATTACTGATTTTTGTTTACAGCATACCCTTGTTCGCCCATCGGAGCCGGATCCATGAGAAACGAGACCGTTCCGTTCATATTCGGAGTGACTTTGGCCGCTGTGGCTTTGCTCACGGTCGGCGGATACGCGGTGTTCAGACACTTCAAAATCAAGAAAGTCCAATACGACACTATGGAGTAAATCACACGACCGACCATCGTCAGATATAACATTCTTATACCTAACGCATTTTTTTAGAAAATGCTCTCACCTACATATTAGTTTATACCTATACGATTTTACCTTTTCTAGATTCCTTTTGACAACTATAATTTTTATTAAAACACTATTATTACCTATTATCACTATTTATATATTCGATTTTTAACCACAGACACTCACACATTTACACACGTTATTCCTCAAAAATCACCATCACTTGTAACTATTTAATTATTATTATTCGCAATTAAAATATTATCGAAGATCAGTTATAAAAAAAAATATATATATCAACAATACGTTTATCAATAACAATGCTACGCAATAGTTTACCATCGTTATTTTCTCCCCCTCGTCTATTCTATCAAACCAAGGCGGATTATGTGATAACAGCTACAAAATAGTTTCACAATATTTGTTTTTACTCAATTGACTTCTTTTACGCTTTTACCATACCATTTGTAAGTAGACTTTATCTCTACCTTATTAGGTTTTAGTGCGGTTCCTTTTTTCGACCCTAACTGTCGGTCGAGCAAAGGAACAGCACTATTCCGTACTAATAGTAATTATCGTCAATTAATAGTAGAATATAAAATAATATTTTAACTATATAAATGTAAAAGCACGTATCAGCTCGATTTGCGCTGTTTAATATTGTCTCAAGACTTAGGTGTGCACGGGGGGCAAGTAAAGATAAATTCGAAGCAGTAATTTATTGTGTGCGCGTTCAACTCCTGATAGAATACCATAATGGCATCTTAAAACTTAAATAATTAGATTTTTATCTACGGCTATTATCACGCCGTATAATAACGCGTGCCGTCGCACCATGTCGAAAAAATATTACTATAATTATTATCATAATTTTCTTTCCAGTACCTTTATTGTACAAATTGCTAAACTTTCAAAGGTCTCGACCTAAATCTAACCATATCTGATTCGGCATTTTGGGCGACCGCAAACGCCCCTTAACTCCATACACTTTGAGTCCTCTTGGATTTTATCGTTTTATGTCATACTTTTTAGCGTTTATAATACTGTGCACCGTGTAGATTAGTTAGGAGTGATTCCGACCGCCACGCTGGTGAACGCGCACATTTCTATCAGCTAACATTTTTTTTTCAACATAAAACTTAACAAGATTTGCGTTTGTTGCAAGGACCATCATTAGTATATCTAACTTGTATTAATTTTACTAACATACTAGTAATAATCGTGTATTTAGTTAAATCTAAGGACTTCTAAGACGCCTCTAAAGCGTTTCGGTCGATCTAGTCTAGAAATAGTACTACTATAATATTATATAGGTGTGACATACATAGATGTCGGTAGGTACTAGCTTTTTATTTATAATCCACTGGTCATTTCCCCCCCCCCCCCCCACCATATACTCCATTAATTATTATAATATATCATTATCTATTCATAATAATATGCTCGTTGTTTTTTTTTGTTGTTAATTTAAAAAAAAAGAAAATAATTGTCATTTGTTCGTCACCGGTTTGTTTTCAATAGCACTCGCACCGCACATGTTTTATTAAACTTTTTACTTACTATATGATAATGATATTGTCGTATTCTATCATTCGTGTTTTTATTCGACAGAGCAATAAAATTAGATCTAATTTTAATATTACTCGTATTGTTCCTATAAGCGATGATATCACGTCTTAATACATTCGTATTGTATTGGCTCTACTACATATCTTACACGTCTAGTCAATAGCGCACAGGGTAACGTCAACCTAGACCTCCTACTGATTAATAGTATGTCTCATAACATACCATATTATAATTAAATGATCAATGGTACCCTGTGTAACTCGTGTTCTCGGTTTGTCATATCGCACACATTCTATTACATAAGATAATTAACGGTAATATTATAATACTTACATTATGTTATTGGCATTCTTGTATGTTTTTCTTTTTTTTTAAATACAAGTAATTTGTGTTAGAATTAAAATGTATGTATAATAGTGGTCAAGAGCATAATATGTCCCAATGCCATATTGCGCACGGTCACCATTATCTTATTTAACAACAGATTAATTCGTAATGAAGTGGATTTTCGATTTTTCAGTAGAACCGTTAGAAAGTATTCGACTTACAATCACCTTAAGCAGCCCATGTAGGGGCTATGCCATCAATATTAGAAAGACCTCCTCCCAAAGGTTTTAACATAAACTTCGGAATTAGCAATCTGTTTCTCCATTCATCATATCGAATCTCATTGACATAACCTCAACATAATCTCGTTTTAATAACGGTAATTGCAATTTAAAAATAAAATAAGGTAACACAAAACACATGACGGTCGCATGGTAAAAAATCCACTATAAACATGTACGATTGATAATTTTGTTTGTTTTTAATTGTATCATTATATTGTTGCATTGTTTTTTCTTTAACAATTACGTTACAAACGTAATACTTAATATTTAATTGAAGCATGTAATTATTTATTTATTATTATTATTATTATGTATTAATGTAGACAAATACAACATAATGATAGTACATGACATTAATCATAAACTATTTTAGCGATTCTTAATTACAATATGGAAGTAATATAAATTATATTATACTTAACTTTGAATATTTAATCGTTTACGTGTTGTCATATTACAAACTATTATATTAGACATTGGTTTATACTTAGAACATATATATATATATTATATCAATTATTATTACTATTCATTTAAATAGGTTTATAAATTATATATAACATTTAATTTTGTCAACGTAATGCATATCGACGTCCTCGTCTTCCAACACACGTTAAAAATTTTGAAAAATATTATTTTTGTTGTTTCTTTTTTTGTAAATTTGAATATTTGTACTCGAGTGTCTTTTTCCTCTATCGTACTTAAGTAAACATATTATAAAACTATATAATATCATATGTACCTATTTATGTATTGTCGTTATTAGAATAATTATTACTTATCCGTAACGTATTCTTAGAAACCTATATTTATATTTACTATTATTGTTATTATTACAATTATGTTTGATCTATTCGTATTAAATTAGTATTACGGTAAACTACTACCCCTATTATTATTATTATTATCATCATTATTATTATTGTTTACACGACATATTATTACTATAATAATAAAATGCACAATATTTGAAATTGCCCGTTCGTTGTTTTTCTTTTGTACCGTAAATGGCTAATCAAAGTGACGGTAAAAAACAGCGACGTTTATGTTTTGGACGAGGTCATAATGTTGTCATTCAGCATTTAGAAAATTCTTTATTTTTAATGGAAACGGTAACCGCTATTTATTAAGGGGCAGCGAATAGGCAATATTTGTTAAAAATTGATCTCGCAACCATATTATATATGCCGACTAAATTTAATGTAAAAAGATATTAAGTTTTTCTAGTTTAAAGTTATTTTTCTCCGAGTCACGGCGAGTAATTTTCCGGCGTATCTATTGGTGGACGGATTTCAATTTTTATTTTTTTTTTTATGTGAAGCTCACAAATTTCTTTATAAAGGCCGATTTTTTCTATAGCTATTGAAAACTTAATTCGATTTATTAGAAAAAAAAACATCAAAAAGTAAAAATATAAACGTTTATAATAAAGGTCAAAAAATAGAAATAAAAAGTCGTACTTTTATCCCCCATCGAAAACATCTTAAACTTTATAACAAAAAACAATTGTTGAAATCAGTTCAGTAGACATTTCAGAAAGCGACTTTTTTTTTAGTCTCTATTTGATAAAAATTGGCAGTTCCTAACAGCTATAAAGTGTGCCGAGACTCAATCGCTTATTATTAGCTATGCTATACATCAGAGGCCTAAACAATTAAACGGCAAACAGTAAATTATTAATGCCGACAGCGTACAAGCTCTTAAAATTTAAACTTTTTGATATTGTTTTTAATTAATAATTCCACCGCGTACCCGACTTTGTGACGCTTAGATAGCGTTTCGGTCCACGTGTCGCTCCCTTCTCTCCTTCTTTGCCTTTTCCTTTGACAAGCCCTTAAAAAAATGTTTTCGTTAATCTACTATCAAAGTATAACGCATCGCCTGACGCAATCAAGCGTGCCACCGATTTGCTCAAATAGCTTCTCGTAGTTTTAGAACATTTAATAGGTATGTAAATAAACGGTTGTTACTCGTGGCTAATTAAGTGCAATATGGAAAAGCCTTTGCCGGGGTACGGACCGTGCTTAAATATTTTAATAGCCGTAATGGGTTGTTAAATCTTATCGCCTCACACAACAGCCATAAATATTAATATAATTTCTTACAGTAAGTGCAAAGATGACGTTAAAGTTGTCTATACAAATACAAATAACGTGAAACAAATAACACATTTCTTCTGTATGTCAAAATGAAATGTGTTTTTTTTATTGTAGTGGTGTATTATTTTTAATAAAACGACATTAACAGTGCAGTAGTGTCGCATATTCGAGAACTGTTGAGCAGTCGCGTTGAAAAAATGGTACGCGTTAGTGGTTTTCTGTGTTTGTTCACTATTTGGAAATTATGTATTCTGCCATTAGTTATTGGCACATACGAACAGACGGCCCAGATAACGGCCATACTGGCAAATAAAGGTTGGCCTATGCAGGAAAATATCGAGATTCGAGAGCAGGGAAAATACTACAGTATGCATGGCTTATTCAAGGAACCTAACAAGATAACACCTGAAAACGCAAAAGATACTATTCGGCATGTACATCAGTTTTTAAGTTGTGAGTACGCTTTATTTTTGAAACGATTATGTGATTACAAAATAACTATAGGGCAAGAGTGCATAAGGATAGATAACCCGTCTAAACTTTTAAATTGCCTAGAAAATCATCTGCAAAAAGTCAAGGGTAGCTACTCTGTAATACTTCGAATGATTGGAGCTCTCTCGTATTTTGTCAAGTTATCACCAGACACCACGTTTAACAGGCAAGTCATAGAGATCTTAGAACATTTAAAGAGATATTACGACAGTAATGCGTACAACAATTTAAAATACTTCCATCGTGATGGAAGCATAAAATCATCGAAAGTTCTTATTCATATCCAGGACATAGTGGATTCAATGACTACCGTTGTAAGATTGCTGCAAATGTTTTTTATAAGTAATTGCAAATTGACGTCAGACTGCGGAGCACAAGACGAGACGTTTTTTTCCACGTTAAACATTTATTATAACTCTGATATGCAGATGACTACTTCAGAAGAATCTATCAATGAACTAACCCAAACAATCGATATAATTTTGAACAAAATTGTTAAGATAAATTACGATGATCTTGGATTTTTGTTTGATCCGATTTCGAATACTACAAAAGTTCAATGTTTAAGCTTCGACGATAAAGTTAACAAAATCGCACTAAATGCGGAGGAAGCACGTGTCGACCAATTAAATGATTTTCTAGCGCATTCCATTTGGTTCTCTAAGGATTATCTTGGGAATGATTTGGGTATTGTAGATTCCCAAAAGACGTTCAAAGTGAAAGATTTGTTTGAAACTAGTTGTAAAACACAAATTGTAACAAACAAAAACTTTGAGCATAAATTTCGACAAGCACACCATGCTTTGAGTTGTAGGTTGGCACAAGAGTTAAAAGAGTTTATTGATTACATTAGAGGTAGAGAACTGCAGTGTAAACGAACGTTAAATTTATTTTCGTCTATAAATTGTTTTATAGACTTATTGAAAACTATCAAGAAAAGTGAAGCTTTAATAATACCCATGAAAGAAGCGTTTTGGTATTTGAACCAGATATCACCACACTCGGTATATATAACGAATATCCCCGTTATATTGGATTATATCAAATGCTTCTTTGATAAAATATTTTTCAATGGTTCATCGTTGAAAAATGTCAACTTTGATGTGATCTTTAATGAATTATATTCTATGGAGAATCACCTGTCTTTTATTGAAGAATTCTTGCGTTTATTCTTTGGGGAATTTTGCTGGTCGGTTTTGAATCATAAAGCATTTGGAGGAGTTTCCCTCGCTACATCTAACGTTCAATGTGTTACGGAGCCAGATGAATGTAACCATCCAAAAGATGCAACATATATTATAAAATATTTTATTCAAAATAATACCAATCGTATTTCAACAATTTTCAAGAAGTTTGGTTTTGAATATTATTCAGAATCGTCGAAAGTCATACTTGAACGAAATACAACAAGAACAACTGTAATTAAGTAGTAACTAGACTTAATGTCTGAATTATTCATCGTTTAATAAGTATAAAATTGTGTATAATATTATAAGAAATTAGAAATAATTACTACTAAACAGTTTTTTGTTATATTTTATTCATTGTTTACGTTAATCATTGTTATCAGGCTTATTACTTATCTTACTACGTTTTGCTTCAAACAATTTCCCATAGAAATAACTTGAATAAACACTGTTTTTTTGCCTGAACCCACATTGCTTTTTAACTACTACACCGATTTGAACATATGATCATAAATCTCCAATCAAAATTACTTTACACGATCAACAATTAATAAGTTGCTATTTAAAATCTAAAAAAAGCCTCAGCAATATTGCGATAATTTCTCACTTTCAAATTTGGTACCTATGCTACACATTTGTAAACAAATTATCCTATACTGTTATGGTTTTTCCTAAACTTGTAATCCGTAAGTGCTTTAATCACTCTCGAAAATATCAAAATTATCCACACTGACAAATATGCTAAATGCGACCACGTCAAACTCACAAAATCCGTTGTCCTCGGGTTACTTAATAACGATTTTATCATTAATTCGCAAAATCTAGTAATCATCAATCGAACGAAGCCTTTCTAAATATGCACCACGACGATATTAATTGGCCAATATATAAGTCAATCGTACTGCAAGTGCTTTTCTTATATTCATATGTATATATATATATATATTTCGTTTGATATAAATGCTGTAAGGTATCGTCTTCAAACATGTTTCTTATCTTTTCGACAAGGTTCATTTGAGCCGTTGCAAAGAACAGTATTGCTGCACAGTACAGGTTGGTTATATATATATATATATATATATGGAAACAAAATTAACACGAGACAAATATAATGATCACAAAACGCGACCGTTACGGATATTCCTACAACACCTCTTTCGCGTCGTAGGTTAATGAGATAATATAATAGGTATTATTATTATTAGCCGTGTACATACTACAGGTGTACAGGGTAGAGACAGCACGTTGTTTGTCCGTCCAACGTAATTATGATGTTATTCACGTCTTCGACGACCTCCTTTTCGTGATTACCACAGAGTGTGTTTTTTTCCATGAACAAAAAAATAATAATAATAACGACCGATGAAAATACCGGCGCGTTTAATCGGTCGTGTGCGATTAAATTAACATTATCATCGTCGTCGCCCGCTCTCCGGTTTGCCAATTCACGATTGATACTAATTCGTGTGTCCGGCCGTCGTAAATTAAATGGTATTGTCGCGGATTAACGAGAAAAGCGTCTCGGTTAAATAACAATATTTAAGTATGTAAATTAAGAGATGCCGATGGATTTACATAATACACAGTGAACCCATACACACACAAAATGATATTGTCCCACAAACATCAGCGAAGGCGATGGCTAAGACGTTATTTGTCAAAAATAAAAAAAGCCGGGCGTTTATAATTTTTTTTTGGTTGTTAGTTTTTTCAGGCCCGTTAACTCGCTCGCGCATTGTAATAATATTCAACTAGTGCGCGTTCACAGTTTTATTTTTATTTTTTGTACGCGATCGGCGTTGTCGGTATAATAGTAATTCTGACACTTTGTAGGTTTGTTGAAAGAAACATGCGACTTTAATAAAATCATAACGATAACATTTTATTTTTAAAAATATATTTATTTTAAAAGGTCATCCTATCCAAGGTAGCGTATCCAATCTCGAAATGTTTTTCACACAGTTGTACGATTATCATTAAAATTTCTAGGTTAATTATACACTTAATACTTTTTTCCCCTTTAGGTATATTGACATATTATTTCATACGCTTTCAGAAAACCAGAACAAATATTATTACTCACATAGTGACAAAACCTATGAGGTAAGAGTATTGTCAGTTTTAGTTTTTTTGCAATCAAACTGATGTCATAATTAATGTGCTTTTAATTTCTACGCTGACTTTATAACTAAAAAATATAAATTATATCTCCTAAAAAAACGGTAGCTTATGTCGATTTGATTAGTACAACTATAATATATTGAAATGCAAACAATACGACCCAAGAATACAATTATTTTTGTGTTTACATATTAATAATTTGTGCAGTTATTATAAGCATATAAATTACCGGATTCGTTAAATTGAAACCGAGATAAAAATTAAAAAATACTCCAACTTATCTGCATTACCCAAGAGACTATCTCTTAAGTAAGTTGGATGTTGATGTAAAACCAAAATTATTGTTATTATGGCATTACACACTAAAAAGATGTCGTCTGTATTCGTTTAAAGTATCATTTTATTATGAAATGATAATTCATGATAAATGATAAATATGTTTCTCAATTGCAGTTTTTGGAAAATTAGAGTGAGCAGTTGACCGGACATTTCGTAAATTTATATTAATAAGATCCTTGTCTGAGGATTCTGAATCATATATTAAACTAAAATCTTTAAAGTGTGTTAAAAATTGCCGGACCCCTACTTGTTACCATTAAAGTAAGTTGGCAAACTATACTTGAAGAGCTCCAACCATGCGCAAGGGTCGCATAATTTTGACTTGTTACTAGTTCAAATGGGTTTTCTATCTTTTCGGATTCATAACCTATTTTCTTTATGTAATTACAAAATTGCTAAAACAAAAAGCGCACCCACAACTCAAAAACTGAAGAACATGACAATTTCTTCCTGAACATTTTAAGGTGCATATAGGGTGTTATCTCGTTAGGTTTGTTGAATAATTTATGCGCAGCGTGATATTTTTTGTTTACGCAAATCGCTATATGTTCCTGCATAAACTAACCCTTATTTCCTAGTAGAGCCTTTATCTGGGCGTAATGTATGTTTGTACTTATAACTAAAGATAGATAACACGACCAAAAAGTCAACAGCACATAAAATGGTCACGTATCATTTGTTTTATATCGTTACTGTCCATTGGTTATTAAACATAACAATCTACTATATTGTTGTAACTTATGAACATAACTGCTGCACATGAAACTAATATTATGTTAATATAAAAAAAGGGTTTAAAATAAAACGTATATAAAATATGTTTGTTATATATTAATCGCTTCATATTAAGATAACTAAAGCCTGCACACCATATTTACACAAGTGCTTGCTTATCTACATTTATGTAGGTTATGAAAATTGTAACTATTTTTTCATGGTTTTGTAATAGTATTTAAATTAACTGTTTTGAGTACGATACACAATCTATATACTTATATCTTGTTGGTGAGCAAATAGTTATCATACCAATAATTTTTTTCCCAAAATAAAAAAACAAATTTTCTTATACTTGTCGGTCATATACGATATTATTATAACTCAACCTTTCAATAGGCATATAACATATTTCACAAACAATTAAGTGCTCTCTAATGTGTTAATATCAACTGCGATTACTCACAACAAACACTTATTATTGTTAACTACTATTAGTCGTTATTGATTTTGTTTTAGTGCATAGAATCCTTCTTAGCTGATATGAGTCAATCCGCAAAATATTTAGACTATGGACGAAACTACCTCGCACGTGCATCTAAACACTATAACCAAAGTAAGTTGGATTTTTTATTATTATAGTATTGGAGATTCAGTCTTATTGTTCAATTACATGAAGATAATAATTTATTATCTAATAGCCGCTGACATCATTTAATATGACACAATTGTTTGCTATATCAGGTAGGTCTGCATTAAAAAACTTAGACAACTGAAACAATAATTACATGTAAATAATTCATAAATTAAAAAGAACTTGGTATAATTTAAGTTGCAAACTGAGTAATGACTTTTTGTGGTCAACCATAATTTGCGGTGAATAGGAATTTAGAAAATTCACTGATGGAACGATAAAAAAATTATATGTTTATTTTAGATATCAAGAGAATTAAGAATTCTGTTTTAGGTATTTTCTTTTACTTTATCGAGAAGTCAAACGACCACTAATATGTTATTTTTATGTACTATGATTTTTATTTTGGTCTGAGAATATCTATGTTGTTTTTACAATTGTAACGGGTACATTCGGCCACCCCTTACCACTAGTACATATTTTTAAAATATTTGTTTTAAGATCAAAAACCATTACCTACTTAAAATGTAAATCATCCTTAAGGTCCAGTATTTTTTTTTCATTAGACGCCGTTTATCGATACTGCTTTATCTAGAGAATAGTGTACATCAATTTAACAAATTTTTCTATTTTTTTTAAAACAAGTTCTAAGCCCCGGAATTTTAAGATAAAAATATATACATTTTTTCAATTTTATAGGAAAAGTGGTGCATTTTTTACATTTTTATTTTATAGACTTGCTACACGAAGAAGTCGGATTATTGGCTTAGCATTATCGTTGGTCTGATAAAAATATATACATAAACAAATAAAAATAATACCAATCATCATTGTAAAAACAATACTTTCACATTTGATAGCTCCGAAACGGATCTAAAAATTAAATAAATGTCATTGCTTACATACAACATTGTTGTACCTCTTATTTCGTTCATAGTTCAATTTAAGCCTTTATGTTGAACTTTCCATAAATTTAACATTACATATACCTAATTATTATGCTTTTTATTCGAAACGGATGTAAAGTACACAAAAATAAGATTGTTATTTTAATATTTCAGGAAAATGGAGAATTGTCGACGATTATGATGAGTGATCAACAATCTGAGGGATTGAAAATAACTTACGGTATTGACGATATTCCACCATGGTATTTATGTTTGTTCATGGCACTTCAGGTAAACAAGCAAATATGTGACTCGATTTGCTGAAAACATTTTTATAGGCATATACCTAACCTAGAATATATATATAAATATACAAAACCACATTATACAGCATTATCTGACCATGATAAGCGCAATAGTGTCGATCCCATTCGTCTTAACTCCAGCGCTGTGCATGAAGGACGACGACCCAGCACGTGGACATATTATTTCAACTATGATATTTGTAACGGCTATTGTGACGTACGCTCAGTGCACGTTCGGTTGCAGGTCAGTTCACAAGTTCGCAAAACGACTTGATCACATTACAACCACTATTGGAAAACTATAACGACCATATTATTATAAACGATATCGTTTTTCAATAGGTTACCTATCGTTCAAGGGGGAACTATATCGTTCCTGGTGCCGACATTGGCAATATTGAACCTACCCCGTTGGAAGTGTCCAGCCAAAGAAATCGTCGACGCCATGACACCCGAAGAGCAACAAGAACTGTGGCAGATCCGCATGAGAGAACTTTCTGGAGCCATAGCCGTTGCGGCGTTGTTTCAAGTGTTCATAGGACTTACCGGCAAGTGTCGAGTGTAGCAACAATAAATCTTAATTTTTTTTGTTTAGCCTGTTTACCAAGGTCATGTTTAGTTACGTGACATTTTGTAGACTTCCCGATTTAAAAAACCAGGATCGGCCGAGAAAACAATTCGCTATCAGGGGCTCGACTGGGAGATCAAATTTGTATTTAAAAATACTATTATAGTATTCTTCATGAACGGTGTTACATAATACCAGATCCTATTAGTAGTAATCTGGACTTTTCTCAATAGTCTACTGTGTTCAATGTCGAGGGTTACATGCAGTAAAGGATAACCAAACGTAGCTAACGTTTTCTAAATTAATTCAAAGATAACTCATAGAATTGTTGGTTATTGTCAGATTACAAAAATTAATAAATTCATTGTATACAATAATACATAATATTAATGTTATATTTCATTAATTGTGTCATTAATGAAATATATTATTGTTTAAGAAAACTAGTTAGGTTAGGTTTGTACATATTATATTTAAATAAGAAAACATTACAATTTACAAAAAACATGAGAGAGCAACAACAACTGTGGGGTACAACGTCTTACCATTGAGTATATATTGTCTTACACAAGTAGTATATATAATTTTTAGGTTACTGAATGACAGTTACAGTGTGACCATACATAACACCCTTACATTAAGATTTAAAAAATTTAAGTTGACAAGTAGAATTAGGCAGTAAATAATAATTAAAAACTCTTTTCTGCTTCGTAACGTTAAAGTCAAAAATCAAATATATTGAAAGTACTCTTTAGACTTGTTAAAAAAACAGAGCCTCAAACGGATTAAATAAGCCATAAGGTATAAAACAAATGCTGTATATATTATATTATGATTGGATGTTTTTCGAACGGTTTTTAACAATTAACAACAAATTATGATTCGGGATTTCTTTATCATATTCAAATCAACCATTCTTGTAATAATTCTTGAGGAATTTTATTACATCCGTGCATTTTGTTTATTAACTCCAATAATTGTATGATGATTACGAACACCTTTTCTAATGTTGTATTATTTATCAGTATTTTGTTTATAATTAAAAGGTACAATTCGACCATCTCATCTTCAAGGTGTTTGAACGTTCTTTGACCTAATTTTTTGGACTTTTGATCAATATCATTACAGAATTTTATTCCATTTAGCACACACCATATGAAAAACTCGTGGAAATCATCTATGATGGCATCCAAATAATCTCTGGTTTCTTTGATGAGGTTAAAAGTTTTTATATATCCGTCAAATTCTTTTTTGGCAAACTCGCTTTCATTCTTTTCCAACCATTGTGGAAATTTATCACATAATTCTTTAACGCATGAATAAGCTATATCCATTGGATCATTTTGGAATAGAAAATTGAACACATCGCTCAGGCTAGGCACATCTTTTATGAAATTTGCTAATAATATGCCTAAACGTTCACTAATCGCACTGACTAATAGACCCGGACCTTTTCCTTCAAGAATATCCGGTAAAACTTCAAACCCAAATTTTTGTGTAACTGGACTAGACTGAAATCTGATACAATAAGTATTACCTTCAGCAACTGCCCGGTCAATAATAAGTTGCCATATTCTGAATATATCCTTCCAATCATCTAACAGATCTCCTGGTGAAGTCTGGTAAGTAAATGATTTTACTGTTTCTTCATCAACCATTTTTTTTAAGACGCTAACTGAAGAACACTGAACATATGAGTTATGACGGTTAGAATATTTTTAAACTATCTTGTTACAACATTACTATAGCAATTTTACTACAATTATATTGAATCTGTTTGTTGTTTTATGCATTTGAAATTAATACAACACTTTTAATAAATATTAATCGTTGGTATTCAAAGGTGATGGAGTGCGTTAAATATTTTTCATTATGAATAGGTAAAATAATTGAGAAATATAAAATTAAAATAATTGGGAAGTAATTGGATTGCAACGTATAGTGCTAGGTATTGTGAAATTAGCCATTTTAATCTAACATTGACTCATAGTTGACAAGGGTATTTTTTGTTAGAGTTACCAACTGTTAGCAAACCTGTCTTTAAAACGTAACTAAAGAAACCGAACCATCATCATTAGACTTTGATTAAATATGTTTGGTGTAGTAATAATAATATTTTTACATCTAAAAGTAAAAATTAATTTAGACTTTAGAGATTTCTTTAACATCTTTGGAAAGACGTTAAAGAAATATATAAGGGTTTGTTAATCAGTTTTATCTGACTCTTATATTAGGTAATCATCACATTGCATGATAAGTTATTTGACGGCTATTATGACAGCATATTTCATGTGATTGCAAATTGTTAGTTGTAAAGTTGGTATGTAAAAGAAAACAATATAATAATATAATAACATAAGGTAAAACCTTATCAAAACTTGCAATTACAAATTGAGACTGCAGCTAAAAAACCTTTTATCGAATTATTTTTATGTTTGGTATAATTGAAGCAATTTTAGTTGGAGACCAATCTGAGCGAAAACAAAAACGGAAATAAGAGTGTTTTTTTTCATTTTGGATTTTCAGGTCTCGTTGGTAAAATAGTCAAATACGTGACGCCACTTACCATAGCGCCCACTGTAGCGTTAGCTGGGATGTCACTATTTCACAACGCTGGAATTTCGGCGGCTAAACATTGGGGCGTATCCTTAGGGTATTAAAATATATAGTAAATAGAATAGCGTGTCAAAAACAAATCCCTCTCTGCCGATTGTATGCTATAATACAATGTAGTTTGCTTTTCATGTGACAGGACCATCGCTTTGCTGACGTTGTTCTCGCAGTTTCTGACCAACTTCAAGTGTCCGTTTCCGTGTTACGACAAGACCCGAGGTTTTCGGTTTTTGTGGTTCGATCTGTTTAGACTTTTCCCGGTGAGCATAATATATTTTTTTTTTTTACAAAACAGACATCAAGACCGTTGAGAAATCAGTGGTCTATAGCTCAGATCCTCTGTTACAGTTGATGCATTACTTAAACTATTAATTTCCTATTGTTCTATAATAGCCATTCAATTATAAGGAAATATCCAATTGTATGATTACAGGTACTACTGACCATCATGATCATGTGGATTTTATGCGCCATACTAACCGTGTACGATTACTTTCCGGACGGTCATCCGGCTAGGACCGATGTTAAGATGCGCATTCTCGAGGATTCGGATTGGTTTAGGATTCCATACCCGGGTACTAGAAATAAAATCAGAGTTTACCATTTTGGTCAGGAACTATCCTGGCACAAATTTCACAATTCAAAAAACATAGGCAAAATAATTGACCTTAATTTCTAAAATGAACATATCATTATGCTTGATGAGGCTTTAGTGTTCTTTTTCTCCTCTGACGATTAATACTTAACATATATCACATACATAAACGTTTCTAGCGATTAATAACTAAACCACTTAATATGATATCTCATGGATATTTTAATAATCTAATTTTAAAATATATAATATAGATAAAAAATAAAAAATATATTGTTTACATTTCATTCTAGCGGCTGAGCTAAGTACAACTTAAAAAAAAAAAATCTAAAACTAGGTTTAATTATTGTAAAATTAAGTAGGCACGTAAAAATATAATAAATACTATTATTTTCGATTGACGGACTGTTCTTCCCAAAACATTTTTAAAATGTATTCATAAGTATTATTACATTATGTATTAATTTTGTCTTTTAAGGTCAATGGGGTTGGCCGACAGTAAGCGTCGCAGGAGTCGTGGGAATGTTAGCTGGTGTATTGGCTTGTACCGTCGAGTCAATCAGCTATTACCCAACTACTTCGAAAATGTGTGGTACGTTAACTATGTGCAAAGTGGCGGTTAAACGCGCTTGTAAATATTTGAATACTGTATTCAACACTGTAAGTGTACTGTAAGTTTTATTTTTCAGGAGCTCCACCGCCCCCAGCTCACGCTATTAACAGGGGCATCGCCTTTGAAGGTATAGGAACCGTGCTAGCTGGACTTTGGGGGAGCGGAAACGGAACGAACACGTTTGGAGAGAACGTTGGTACAATTAGCGTGACGAAGGTAATTGGTTAGGTAATTAAACAACTTGGAGGGCAGAAAGATGTTGATTGACAAATCTGCTATTTTAAAAAAAAATTTTTCCGCCGTGAAAGAAAGTAATTTAAGGAGGACTAGGTTTGCTGACTTCAAATAGCCAGGAGAAGTAACAAAAATATCATGTAAACCTTTTTAAGTATAATAGTCTTGGTTTTTCGGTTAGGTTATCGATTTCAATCAGTTTTAAGTCTCATTTATGCAAGTTTTAATTATGGAAATTGTATAATAAATGTTTTTATTTTAGATTGGAAGCAGACGGGTAATACAGTACGCTAGTGGACTCATGTTACTTCAAGGAGTGGTAAACAAATTAGGAGCCGTGTTTATCATTATTCCCGAGCCTATTGCCGGCGGTATGTTCTGTGTCATGTTCGGCATGACAAGTGCTTTCGGTAAGTATATTGAATGCCCAAAAGAATACAATTTCTAATCTATAATAATAACAAAGATTAAAATAAATAGACACTACTGTCGTGGTTTTCAATTCTATATCTTCCAACACGTTTTACTCCAAATCCATTACCTTTCCTAGTGATAGGCAAAATCTTGATGATATTCCAACAGATTCCTATAAGCCATGATTATTTTCTGAATTTTATAGTACTGATCTAATTTGACTATATTTATATTATACTGAGTATTTACATATAATTTTAAGTTAAGTGAACAAAATTAATTGTCTCATGTTTTAATTCGTATAATTTCGATAAAAAAATGTTTTAGGTTTGTCGGCTCTGCAATATGTTCATTTAAATTCTTCGAGAAACTTATATGTACTCGGGGTTTCAATATTTTTTTCACTGGTGAGTTTTGTTATGATACATATGTATTTTCTTAGATTTTGATGTTATTAAAAACATATGAATAAACTGGCCTTCGAAAAAGAATAATAAATGCCAACCGTGAAATCACTCAAAGGCGGTGATCGATTATGAGTAAAGTACACCTATAAATAGAAACGTTTAACATATAATATATATTACATTGATTTAGATTTGGTTCTCTGTTGGATACTTATACAGGCCGTATGGTTTTAGGTCTTGCCGAACTGGCTGATCACTCATCCTAACTCCATAAAAACTGGAAGTGAAATTTTAGATGGTGTACTCACTGTGACATTCAGCACTAGTATTCTGGTCGCAGGTATATTAGCCTGCTTTTTGGACAATTTTATCCCAGGTATACAATTAGTAAGTAGGGATTAAAAAAACGAAATAATAAAAAGATTGTAGTAGGAGTAATAGAGTCTTTTAAATTCAACCTATAACATATATAATGAAATTTACATTAAATCAATAATTTTGGAAAAGTATAGATAAATATTTAATAAATAACACAGTAGGTAATCTATTTATATTATATTATGTTTTATTCTTGGTTCGAACTGTCGTATCGTTTAACTGTCATTTTTTAAGCGAATCAATTATTTTTACATTAAATGTCCATTAATCTGTGTATTTTTCGGTCGAAAATAGCTTATTCTTATTTTAATCGTACTCTGAAACGAGTAATTTGTCAATAGTTTTCACATCAAATATTAAATAAATTACAAATAAAGAACTTTCAATACTTTCTTGATCTATCAATCAAGTACATTTTTAATTTTCGTTATTTATTATTGTAAAAATTGAATTTGCAATTTTTCGAATAGAAATAATTAATTAACTAAAAATAAATATAAAATGGTGCCACAATCATGTAAATATTATGAAGAATTCAAATTGTTTTTTCAAAACTTAAACCGGAGTATTTTTAGGAATGCACTGTTTGAAGTAGATACCTCTCTGCCGTGACAATATATATTATATAGAGGTTTACAAATATTAGCTTAATGTTAGGTTTTATTTAAAAATTCCTGATTCAATGCGCCTTAATAAACGCAGTGTAGAAGCTCTTTAAATATTAATACTCAAAACAATTGGATTTAGGGACACCCGAAGAGAGAGGACTGATCGCTTGGGGTAAACAAATGAACCTTGCCAGTGATCCGGCAACGAGCCAAAAACCGAATACTTTCGATTTGCCAATAGGAATGGATTTTTTAAGGAAGTCAGTATAGTTAAAATACTGCTTTAAATCTATTTACTGACTTTGGATCGATTTAATTTTGTTTGACAGATGCGAATGGGCTCGCTCCGTTCCGGTGTTGCCGACTTACAGCCCGAAGAAGACATGACCTACATATTATGAAAATCGTAATCGAATTTCATTTATATCACTGTGATGTTATTTGAACGTAAAATATAGTTATTACCTGAATAATGTTAAGCAATTTCCGTTTATATGTAAACAGTCTAAATAAATAAATAACAATCGCAAGAAAAATACTGTCAAGCTCGTTATTTAAACAAGTTTAACGCTGTACCCTTGAATGTGTTTTGCATATAAATTACCTACCCCATATTTCATATTTTGTATCGACTATCTTTGCCATACTTCAAAAAAGCATAAGATTATCAATTACTATTCATATGTGTTTTTAACATAACCAAACTGAGGATTCCTAAATAATTTGTTTAAAAAATATATATTTGTAATTAATTCTTTAAGTTTAAAAATATTTTTAAATTATTTTATTTGCAGTGAACAATCTATAATATATTAAAGTAATAATTTATTTGGAAACATAAATGATTTAAATAAAAAACCGGCCTCTTGTAAAATATTTGAATCCATATTTTACAATTATTACAGAATAAATAAATAATAATTTACACTTTAACTTTTATTATCGGTTTAATGGCATTTTAAGCGCTTATATTTATCGACTACGTTGTTTATTGCTACTTACAATTATTTAAACACAAATCAGATTCATTTTCACGTGAAATATTAACCATAATACATAATAGTAAACCTCGCCCAAACGGTTGATCAATGTAACAGTGATGCATAGTAAAGCCAATAGATGGCAGTAACGATACATTTGAAAAAATAAACGTTTGTTGTACACTCCGTGTATACTGTAGTCTAAAATGTACCTAACATATTCTTTAATAATGTACACCCAGGATTCACCAACATGCACTTCTAGTAGATCCATTTTCGCTTGCAGTATTGTTGACATGATGTATTTTTTTTTAAACGATTTACTCACAAGAAGCCAGGGTATATCGTATAAAATAGGGTCAATAAGTTTGATTGAGTTTTATGATTTATCAAGTAAATCTAGAGTAAAAATAATGGTACATGCAGTTTGCCATTCGTGTCGATGGATCGTAGTCCCGAAGTCAGTTTGCTTTGAAATTAACAACATTTCAGAGGCATTCTTGACAAATGAACTTTTCGCTTTTAGTGGAAAAGTTAAGTCCATACAAAATCTAAATTTTGAAATTATAAAAAGAATTCGAACAAAGTTGTTTATTTATAAAAGTTGTAAATTTCAATATTTTTTATAACTCAGCATAATTATCAAAATGTGGGTATACTCATTACTCTAATTAGAAGTTTTTGTCCTTGAATTTTAACGACATTGTGTGTTGACTTAGACAATATGACGTTATTCATATTTGTCAACACACAAAAAGTCAATGAACGTAATAAAATGTTTACTATCGTCTTACTGTTATTGTCGCAGTAATATATTAAGTGTTACTCAACGCGAAAAGAATCAGTAGTATTATATTATAAATTTAATATTATTATTATTTTTTTTAGCATAATAAAAAATGACAAATTATTAAATCCAACCAGCTTTAAAGATACGGAAAGATGATTATGATGTATTCAACTTATTATTGAAACTAACTGCCAAATAATTTTAGATCAATATTTTAGAACTAATTGATACCATATTCCATAGCAATAATTATGAGCTAGTTGGTTAGGTTGACAATTCTAAAGTTAGATAGATGTATGATTTCACCTTATATATCAACAATTATTTGCATGATATGTATAATAAAAATCAATTGTAAATTGTAATACTAATAAAAAAAATAGCATTTATCACGATGATAATAATGTTTCAGAGAGTAATCAATATTCATTACACTAAAATATTTAATTATTGCCAAACGAATTCGAGCAATTATTTCAAATTCAATTGTTCTTTTTTTCAATAGAATAAAGCTCAAACGGTATAATAATATAATATGTAGTCCGAGAGTGCAGTGCACAGTAAAAACAAATACAAATAAAGTACTAGTGATAGAACTAAAACCACTACGAATCAACCTTACAACGACAATGATTAAAACTAATCGTTTTCAGGAGTGACGTCATGTCATCGACTTACTAAACCTCTACTGCGAGTACTGTACACACCCTGAACAAATTAAATTATAAAAAATTAGAGATAATTTACGATTATTTGTTGTTTTACGACCAAAAACAAATTTGATGCATGGAAATAAAAGTAATAAAATGTGTTTTCGATTGAGTTGTTTTGATTTAACTTTCACGTATAATCAAAGTCGACTGGAGACTTAATTAACTTTAACTCGTAGTTAATTTATACAAGTGATTCAATGAAAATGTTAATACACCTATATCGTGCATTTGTTCAAATATAAGTAGGTAAATTTTATTTTATGTATATTCATATAAATGACATAAATTATAATAAAATCGCTTAAAAACCACTATGGATTTTATGTTTTAAAATTCAGTTTTTTGTTTCAAAAAAGTTTTTTATACAAATATTCTGATTATACATTAACCTGTTATAATAACTATGTAATATTGATCACGCTACCTAAAATCTATCTTTTCTTGAAAATCCGAATTTTCGATTTCCTGTTACATCACTATAAATATGCAAATATTACAATGACGTAGGTTATTTTCATACCAGAAGAATAATTGTACGCTGTAAGCTTTAAAAAATTATGGATACAGACTTCTGGCGCCCAGCACATTATATAACAATTTAATGAACTCTCAATTAAATCTTATGACCACACACTTTATGTGGAGCCGGGCATATAATTGAATTATCAGGGGACTTTTAACACCCACCGGAGCACCATATGTAGTATAAATAAGGTCGGGCAGATGGCTGTTGCAAATAGTAAGGATTTTCACGTCGCAGTTTCACCACCTTCGTGTAGTATGTTAAACATTTTCAATTTTATTCGGCTTAATGTGTAATGACTCGAATTAAATTTAATGTTTTAAATTTAAATACCTGACTGTACATGGTAAAATGCAACAAAAAAAATCAATTACCTATACCTACATCAATTGAACTCGAGTTGTTACTTTTACGTTGCATCAAACTGATTATTTATTAATTAACAATCTATATAATTAATATAAATAAAAATTAAAGTTATATATATATATATATATATTCCATTTATATAATATTAAATCCTAATTGCGAAATTTGTTTGTTTTTATTGCGCAGTGTTGACTCGGCACTCAACAAAACTACCGATTTTACCATCTATGTTCTACACAGACAAGTTAAAAAGTATGAAAATTATTTTTACTCATTTTAAAAAGCCTATTTTTTAATTAACTCAAATATTAACTTTCACGTTTTCTATCATCGTGTAAATGGGCCTTTATTCTTATTGGTTTTCAAAAAAAAATTATGCCTCACACAGCAACATAGCAATAAATATGTTTCTAAATATTTGGTTGTTTCGAATGAAAATATTGTATGTAGAATATTTATTAGTGATTTTAAAAATAATATATTATCATATATGATATTTCGGAAATATTATCATACTATTTGTACTATTTCCGAGTGGGAATTTTATTAACAATTTATAATGTCATTTAACTTATTTTAATTTTGAGTTTGTATTTTATACTATTGTTCTTTTATAAATCACTTACAACCGGTTACGCGCTTGACTCTTCGTGATGAACACTTATTGTTTAATAGGCCATTCAAATTAAAATTAAATATCAAAAATGTGTTGAATGAGCTTATAGCTGATTTGATCGAAAAATGTAATACAGCGTGATCAATATATTTTTACCATCATATAATTTTTTAAGAAGTTAATGATAATATTAGGTTTATCATTTTTAGACGAATTTCAAATGTAAGTGAATTTTTGTATCGTTGCTTTGGTTTGGAGTTGTTGAAAACCGGGTTTAGTCTTTGCGAGACCTTAAGAATTGAAATAATTTTTGTTTATTTTGTACGACTATTTTTTGTTTTGTAATTCTATACACCTGTACAGTATGAAAATGTTTAACCGCCGACCGGTTACTGTCAGCAACGGATGACAATAATAGATAATATTAGGTGGGTAATTGGTCTCACATAAGCAACCGTGTGTGTTATATAATATGTATCAAACACAGTATAGGCACATGTAAACACAGGTAAACGATAAGACTGGGGAAAATATCATACTATTATTATCATAATAATAATTCTGTGTCGTTGTCGACTCGTTTAACGTAAATGGTATAACCCATAATTATTGACTATTGTTGTTGTTCGTCCTTCGAAGGAGCAGAGTTGGTCAAGTACTTGTCACATACGCTAAATATTTTATTTTTTAATTTTTAACACAGTAAGTAACCCGTTAGTAGTTTTACAGTTTTCAAAGTGTATATAAAACACCTGCGAGCAAGTAGATAAGATAATAAGCACAATACAACTTTGCTTGTGTCACGGCTTAGCTGCGTCGAGCATGTGATGTCAGATAAAAATTTAATAACCAATTGACTTTTTACGACCCAATCCGACATTCTTAGAGGTTTTTTTCAATTAACAATAATAATTATTATTACTGTGCGTTTTAGTGGACGGACACTCTTTGATTACTGCCGTACCGGACGCTGACACAAAACGACTCACAACATTACAACCCAAACAGAATATGGACGATTCCGCTTTGAAAGGAAGCACGCAAATCACCATGAGCGTAAGTCATAACCCTTTGAGATTTCTATAGTGATGCTATAAAACAGGGTTGATTGGGTAATACTTAATTTGATCAAAATAAAAAAATTATCTTCTTAAAAAAATATTTTTAATTAATATATAAAAAAAATACTATTATGATCGATATAATTTTGGTTTTAGATCTATGCATTTTTAACCAAATTACAATTTTTATTTTAAGTTTTCAAAAATTATAGGAAAAAAAAGAACATTTATAAATAAGATAAATTATGGTAAAAAGGGAACATAAAATACACGTAAAACCTCTTTAACGCTAAATAATATCATATAATGTGATATACAGAGTAATGCATTCAATGTAAGATATTCTATATCATTTAACATAATTGAAATTTTGTAGTTTTGCATTTTTTTAAAACGTTTGTTTATGCTATTTTACAAAATATGTATACAATTTTAATTGTAAGACAAGAGAAGGAGTGCCATTGAGTACTAAATAAATAATAATAGACTCCACCCTTCCTAAATTTCAAAAGTTGATAAAACTCTAGATATTACCAAAAAACATAAACATTTTAGTATTGTTTAGTACTATAAATTAACATTACCTGAAATTCCTATGAAAAAAAAATTATATATATTTTTAGAGAAAATGAGTGTTTAAGTTAAATAGATCACTCTGTATATATTTGATTTGCAAAATAACAGATGTTTTCTTAAGAAACCTAAAAATGTCCAATTCTAAAAATTAATATTATTTGCTAACAAATATATGATTTCAGACGTTATTTAAAGAGGTATATACTAGATAAAATGTGTGATAACTATTTATAAATATAATATAAATGTATTTTAGGGTATCCCACTATTTACTAATGTTATTCAGTCCAATATTTTCTAGTAAAGTTGTTAAAAAAAATCCGTACAACAGAAAAGTTCTAGTAGTAATCAAGTTCTACTTTCTACTGAATTAAAACCTTTAGTTTTATAATTGGTATCTCCATAATTGCTTTTGTTTTATACCTAAGTCGTATTATATGTAAAATTCTTTAGTTTTTGAGACTAAAATAAAAAAAACAAATGTAAAATAGCAAATTTTCATCAGTTTTTAAGAATAATATATATTTGTAGATTGTCTCTCATTAATATGAAAAAAAATGTTAATAATATTAATTCCTACTGCGTTTATAAAAGCTAAAAATCGTACAATACTATTCTGTGATTTGTAGCCGATTTTAAATTTAGTTAAAGGCAATCACTGGAAATCCATAAATGAACTGAATTTCACCACATTTTTTTAATAAACAAAACCCGGATTAGGATTTATCAAGAAATATTCTACAAAGTCAATATTCATTTTGATTCCTGTTTTCTAAAAATAGTCCAAATTCGTTGCTCGACGTGTTTGCTCTCATTTAAAACTTCGACAACGCTTTAATTTAAATATAAACATAAAGTTGTACGTTTAAAAGGCTCATTTATGTAAATTGTTTTATTAATTGTATTTTCATAGCGAATCGAGTTAGTATCCACGCCGACTTTAAATGGTTTTGATGACAAACCAGAAACAAACAGATCTGATGGACTGACAATTACATACGGCATTGACGATAACCCACCGTGGTACTTGTGCATATTCATGGCCTTACAGGTAACACAGTTACTAAAATAGTTTAAACTTTAAAATATTTGAACAACTGACTGGATAAGTTTTTCCATTAAGGCGTATTATTTTATCGTGTTTCTTCAAATCATAATTAATTATTATTATTAACTTTTATCCATTAGTACGCAATAATGTAAATCTGGAGTGGCCGAGTAGACTAAAGCGGCGGTTCCAATGCAGTCGCCGCGCCTGTTCGAACCCGGCTACTCCCAGACATTTACGCCATACGAAAAAAAAAATGTAAATCAAAGTAATAAAGGTAACTCAACATTTTGTTAAAACTGTATTATCAGTTCATTGATATTCTTGGCACAGTTTTCATATTATGTATTGAACAATTTAAGAAACGTATTACTATACCTACCACTTGTGTCTTTATTGCGGATCTGAGAAACTGCGGTTATATATAATTGTATAATATTATTGAGTAGGTATTGTATATTTCAGTTTTTAATAGTATCTTTCGAAGATTAACTTAATATTGTTTTTTTTTTTGTTGAGAATTTTCCAAGTCACCAAAGCCTAAGAATGTAACCTTTATTTTTGTACATAATTTACAGCATTACCTGACCATGATTGGCGCTATAGTATCCATCCCGTTCATTCTTACCCCAGCACTATGCATGAGAGAAGACGATCCTGCTCGAGGGCACATCATATCGACAATGATATTCGTCACGGCCATAGTGACTTTTGCACAAGTCACTTTCGGTTGCAGGTAAAGTTTATTACTACGTTGAATAGGCTAACATTATATTATTTGGTATTAAATTTAAATTTAAATAACAATGTGGTAAAGTTTTATTTTTCCATGTTAATGTTTTTTTTCTCACTTATTTAGTCACCAATAAGATAGTTTCTAGTTAGCAGCGATAGTTTATCGTTATGTATTTTAGCGTAGTATACTGATGGGTAAAGGTCTAAATTTGTTTTTATAGTTTTCTAGTTAGTTTTTTTTCTAATATCTTTTTAAACTAATTAAACAGGTTGCCAATTGTCCAAGGAGGGACTATATCGTTTCTCGTGCCGACTTTAGCCATACTAAACTTGCCCCGTTGGCGCTGCCCGTCGGCAAACCAAGTGGCAGCTATGAGCCCACAAGAACAAGAAGAACTATGGCAAGTCCGTATGAGAGAACTTTCTGGTGCAATAGCCGTTTCAGCATTATTCCAAGTGATAATCGGATTAACAGGTAAAACGCATGTCATGAATTCTCGTTGGCTTTTTTTAGTGATGATAAGTAAAACGAAAATCGCTAATCCGTCACTTTTCTTAAGTTTTTTCGACGACGTAACATATTTGTTCGTTTCTATTGAAGTCCTAATATACGCTCTTCAAAGTTTATTTACAATGCATTATCTAGTGATTATATTAGTATCTTGTTGCTAACATATTTAAAATGTTGTTTTAAAACAAAGAGTCATATAAAAATCTATATATTTTTAAATAGTTATAAACAACTTGTTGTTTCAATGTATTTAATCCCACATATCAATAACATACCATTTTAAATGGCATTTTATTAAAAAACGATAATATTGTCATAATATTACATATTACATCTTATTATTTTCTATGTAGTATAATCTAAAAAATAAATATTTTCAAAACTTGAAACAAATATTGTACTTTATATGTATTCATATATCCTACCGCAAATATCAACAAAACATTTACAAAATATTAATATTTTTATTTGTATGTTAATTAAAATTATATTACGTGGAAAAAAAATATAATGTCCACCTAAAAAATAAATAACTATTTTATTATTTAACTATATTGAAGTTAACAAAAAAATGTAAATGGTTTATTTATTTTGAAATGATTTTTTTAGCATCTACAGTTGTGCCACTGGTATAGCTTTTATAGAATTTTACTATAAAAAAACTCTACAGAAGTAAAACCAATTTTCCAACTGCGGTTGTTCCAACTTTTATTATATTATGTTTTCATAATATTAATTAAAATATTGCTTTCTGTACTTAATTCTTCAGAATAGCGCATACTACTTAGTAAACTACTACAGATACAACAAATATTTAAAAATCATTTTAAAATTGAAAATTGTATCATCCCCGGGTTTCCTCTACAGAAATCGTATAAAATAATGATAACTTGATATATAATCGTTTTTTTTATCTCGGCAGCTAAAGTAATTATTTTTTTTTTTAAGGTTTTTAGGGTTGTTGCCTCAAAAATACATGGGTTAGGTTGTGGTGGACCACATGGCTATCCAATAATTTATAGATCATATTTTTATTATTACGCGCTTTATATAATTGTATTAGTTTTTATAATTTCATTTTTTACAGGTGTCATTGGTAAAATAGTCAAGTACGTAACACCATTAACAATTGTGCCCACCGTGTCGTTGGTCGGCTTGTCGTTGTTTGAAAACGCAGGCGCTTCAGCTTCCAAACACTGGGGAATTTCAATGGGGTACGTAAATGATAAATATTATATTATGAGTCATCTGAACTAATAAAACGTTCAGTCAGGTTATCTAACGGTAATTTTAACTTTTTATTTTTACAGGACTATTATACTGATGACGTTATTTTCACAGTTTCTGACAAACGTTAAATGTCCGTTCCCATCTTACAACAAAGTCGACGGAATCCACATTGCCTGGTTTAACCTCTTTCAGCTTTTTCCGGTGAGAGAGATTTTTATTTTTTGTACTCGATTAGTAATTTCTTCTAACCGATTCCATGTTTTCAAAGGTACTGCTCACCATCACCATTATGTGGATACTCTGTGGTATCCTAACAATGTGCGATTACTTCCCGGTCGGCCATCCTGCGAGGACAGACGTGAAAATCAGGATCATCGAGGACTCGGATTGGTTCCGGATTCCGTATCCAGGTGCATAGACCGAACGGCAACATTTTCAAAAATCAACAGACCTTTAAATTAAAGTTTTGTTTATATTTATTTTTAAAATAGGACAGTGGGGCTGGCCGACAATCAGTGTCGCCGGCGTCATAGGAATGTTGGCTGGAGTCCTGGCTTGTACCGTGGAATCTATTAGCTACTACCCGACAACGGCTAAAATGTGTGGTGGGTATACTTAATACAGTGATTATTATTCGGTGTCATTTGTTATTAATTGTTTTTTTTTTGTAAATTTAAGGCGCTCCTCCACCTCCCGTGCACGCCATCAACAGAGGCATCGCATTCGAAGGAATCGGGACCGTCTTGGCTGGTCTCTGGGGAAGCGGAAACGGTACCAACACTTTCGGAGAAAACGTCGGTGCCATAGGAGTCACGAAGGTAATTTGAGCCACAGCTGATTATGAACTCGAGTACTAAGATACCAACTTATAAAGTACATTGATAAGTCATAAACACAGTGAAAATGTCCAATAAGCGTGATTGTGTTAATGTGTGCTCACTGCTTATCACATAATTAAGATCTTTCTCAATAATATATAGTCAGGGTTTTGATTTTTTAAACTGAATTAAAATTTTAATTCCGGTATCAGGTTTTTAGTGTATAATTTTATATTATATAATGTTGGTATTGAAAACCGGATTTCAACTCTTTTTATTATTTCGGATTTCCGCTACACATATTTAAGTAATTTCTGATTAATTTTTTCCAAAATTATGCCACTAGATCCCCCCCCCCTCCTTTATTCTAGCACTATTTATTCTAGTGTCTAGTAATTGTAAATAACAACATTTTACTTACTGTGTTATTATATTAATATTTGTTTATAAAAAGTTTTTTTTATAAACAAATATTAATAATACATTTTAAATCTATCGATTTCCTCTCCTACTTATGTAAAAAATAATAGGTATAATTATTTTCTCAGAAAAACTGCGCTCAAAATCTTTACAACAAGACTACTTTTTTATTTATAGTGTTCGGGTTTTTAATCTAAAATTTTAATTTTACCATTGATTATAAATATTGATAATATTTATAATCAATGATTTTACTAATGAAAATAATAATAATGATTTGGTAGATTGGCAGCAGACGTGTAATTCAGTATGCGAGTTTATTAATGTTAATCCAAGGTGTGGTTAACAAATTTGGAGCTGTTTTTATCATCATTCCAGAGCCCATCGTAGGAGGAATGTTTTGCATTATGTTTGGAATGATATGTGCCTTTGGTGAGTATAAAATGGCTGATTAAATTTCACATTTACATCGAATAATAATTATTACTTCTAAGGTGACACTTATATATTTTAATAACGACTGATAACATTTTCCACGTTCTTTGTCCAGGATTATCTGCATTACAATACGTCCAATTGAATTCATCCAGGAATTTGTACATCATAGGATTTTCAATGTTTTTCTCACTTGTAAGCTTAGTACATTCACTACAAATATATAGATAAAGTAATTTTTACTCGTCTTGTGTTCATTACAGGTTTTGCCAAAATGGCTTGTAGCTCACCCGAACGCGATTCAGACTGGAAACGAAGTGTTAGACAGCGTTTTTACCGTTATTTGCAGTACTAGTATCCTCGTTGGAGGTTTACTGGGTTTCTTTTTGGACAACACCATTCCAGGTTGAAAATAAAATCTTCTTTACTGTCTTGTGTAAATTTCCTTTGCCCGTCACTACTCTTTGGTAACTCTACACTCTTCTTTAACTTACGCCTTTTAATATTTTTTACTTGATTTTGATAGCTGAAACCTCTTTTAAATATTTAATATATACATTTTCCTCTATATCTTTCTTATCATAGCCATTTACTCTCGTATTCCATACTAGTGTTTGATATTTATGAACTGATTGTTTTTCATCAACTTTGTTTTAACATAATATGTCCTATCATCTTTTGGATTAATACATTGTCATAATTGCCGTTTTTCTTTTATCCTGTCTAGTACCTCTTCGTTTGTAGTTATTTCAGTACCACGTCTCAAAGGCCTCCACCTCATTTCTCATTTCTATTGAGCTAATTGTCCAGGTTTCAGAGTGTTTTATTTTATAATTGTATTTTGCAGGAACACCAGAAGAACGAGGACTCATAGCTTGGGGAAAAGAAATGAATCTCGTGAACGAGCCAACCGCCGGTGAAGAAACTAGTACTTTTGATTTTCCAGTTGGAATGGGTTTACTAAGAAAGTAAGTGAATACATAATACAAACATCATGTTGTCTAATAACATTCCAAATAAGCAAAACTTTATTAAAACTAATTATGTTAAAATGAAGAAAACTCAACTCAAAAGAATCAGACTCAATACTTCATTTGTTTTAAGATATACTTAACACTAATAAACTTAACCGCCCATAATGTAAGTCGTACTAATAAGCGAATGAAACTAATCCATCTAGGACATAAACAGCTTTTCAATTGAGATAAACAAAATTTACTTTAATTTGCTAATGTTTTTTTTTTTTGTTGTAAACAGAATGAAGTGGACTCAATGGATGCCATTTTTACCAACTTACAGACCAAAGAAAGCTTAAACTTTAGATTACTACCTAAATTGTATTATATTAATACTTTAATTTATATTATTGAATACTTTTTTTTATCAACATAGAATATATAATAGATATAATTATAAAAATAGAATCAAATAATTCAATATTTATTTTATTTACCTACCTTTAGTTTACATTAACAGTTTACTATTTAACATAGTGTTTAAGACGGTTTGCAAAAAAACAAGTATTAAAGCTTATTTGTTTGAGAAACTCGGTTAAATTATTAAAAGGTATTATCCAACAATAATGTTTGGATAAAGAATATAATTATTAACGATGTTGTTTTCAAAAAATAAATCTAACAAAATATAATAAAAATTTAAAGACACACGTGGCATAAGCTGCTACTTCAAGATAAGCTAAATTTTTCTATTTTATCATACTAATCCTGAGTAATTAGTACATTAATGATCACTAATCAGTCATCTATGTATACTAATTAGTAATTATATGGTTAATACCACTAATAATGCGTTTTGGATTGCTCAAAAAGCATAGAAAGAAAATATACAATTAATAATAAAAATCATTACATAATATTTTATTGCACTGCACATTAAATGTTTTATTTCAAAATAATTATTTTTAAATTCCTACTTATCGTATATAACATTGTGATAACAATATCAAATGTATTAATCTTGGTTATAATTCTTCTAAATCGAAAATCGTTTTTACCATTTATAAAATGTTAAGTAATGATTATGTTTTTAAAAAACAGTGTTATTGATGTGTTAATTTTGTAGTACATTTACATCGTATTACTAAATATTTTTAACTAAAATTGAAAAATGTTAATACTGCAGTTCGATTTACCTTTTATTCGTTTACAATTGGCCTAACTTAGTTTATTGTTTTCGTGATATTTGCGTTTTAATTATTTATTATTTATTTTCTATAAATATTAAAGTACTAGGTCTTGAGAACTGCAAGAAACCATGTAGCGGCTCATATTTTAAAGAGGCATATAAATAATAGACATAATAAAGTTACATGTATCTAAGGTATGTACTGCAGTCATGAATATATTAACTTAAAGATTTAAATCATATTTTTACCATGTATATCAGAGTAATTATCTTTAACATTCTTATATTCATACTAATGACCATCTAACGCAATTTTATAAACAATTTTATAAAGGATAGAAAAGATTTTAATTATTTTTTTAAGTTTTTTTTTTAACTAACCACGCTTTATAAGAAACTACAAACATTCTTATGAGTATAAAAGTAACTAAGTTAGAAAGTTACAAATTTTACAATATCTAATTAAAAAAATCGTTTTTATTTGAAAGAAAACCCCACACTTATAAACTGAAAATTATGAAAGAAAAATGATACGTTTGCCCGCAATCAGCCTTATTTTCTTATTACTCTAACAGATTACATTTTTACTTCAGCTGTTTTCTAAAAACATAATACTGTTTGCAAGCAAGCTTCTTCGGCCGTGTCGGTTCCTCGTACACTGTACCGACGTTTAGATTTTAATAGTATTCTTGGCTATCGGGTTTCGTGTGTCATACGCCAAGGACGTTATTAGCTCTTGAGTAGGTACATCATCTTCGAATAATATTATTATTATTGTAAACTTGAAAACGGATGCTTTTAACATCGGCCGCCGCGATCGCACTGACATAGGACACCGTCAATATGTAGATAGGTATTTAACGACGTGCAAACGCTTATCACAATAAATCATTATTGATAATAATAGGATTGGACGTGCACAAACGTTTCGAGTGCCTTGGAGCATCGCAAGTCTTTCAAAAGTATCGCAAAAGTCCTTTTAATATGCGACTTACGAGGTACCTATGTGTTTGTGGGGATTTTTGAACGACAGACACGGTTGCCGCAGGTAGACATAAATAATGTACACCTACCCTTTATTATCATTATCACAACCACCGCTGCTACTGTACACATTACTACAGCAGCTATTACAAGAGCATAAAAATATAAAATATATACTACCGCTGCTACTGTGTGTATTATAGTATTATTCGAGCGTGACAACAATGAATCCGACGACCGCCGATGCTGTACCCCACTCGATGGCGACGGCGACAAATGACAATAATAATAATAATAATAATAATCTCAAGTATTGTGTGTGTGCTTATAGGTACGCATATGCAATATGTACGGTATGCCCCGTGTGTATGTGTGTGTTTAAAGCGAAGGGTGCGCGTGGAAGAGCCCGATGTAATTGAAATCGGACACCAAAAGCAAAGTAGAAAAAAAAAAGGAAAGAATACAAAACAGTCACACAAGCCCGCGCGCGATGCATGTTTTTCGCACCATCTCTATATTATATTATTATGATTTGGTGTTGTGTATTATCACCGGCAAAATAGGGACCATTGCGTCTGTCCGTCCGGTTTTATTGTTGTTCAACCGCCGCCACTGTTACACATTATTTACGTTATATAGGTGATGTAACAATAATGGTCGGATTATCGTCATTATTATTAACACGATAACGTGGCATAAATCGTATTTATTTAGTGTATTTGACAAAGTATTTATGGGGGAGGAATAGGGGATAAATCCCACCCCTTGAAATTTTTTTTTGTAGTTAAGTTTTCCATATTTTTCATTATAATACTACTTTTAAGTATATCTGTTTTCTAACTACTTTAAAAAGGCCAAGGGGGGTGATCTATCATCATACCCGCTCCTCTAAATACGCCACTAGTTTGACACCCCGTAGTGTTAGCGTAATAAGCACCTAAAGTCGTCGAATTAAAAACACGAGTATTTAAGGCAGTGAAAATCAATAGCCGGCATAAGTGATTTTCGTAAATTTTACAAGAGAGCGGCAAAATGAAAATTATTTTTCTAGTGATATTCATTGTCATTCAGTAAAAAATCAGCGTTTAATAATTTACTATTATACTATCTCTTCCAATATTGAATTGCTATTTATATTAAGGGGTCCAAATGTTAACGCGTTCAGTAGTTGAAAATCTGTAAATTCAGTAAACCAAATTTTTGTAGTAAAATACAATTTGTTTGTCAAAAATTAACTACTGACATTATAAGTAAATAACAATTTTTAAAATTTAGTTGTTGATATTCGGGAGGGTAAAACTTGCGTATTGGACTAAGAAATATCAAGATCAAGCCTATTCTTATGAGTTAACCGCTGGAACAAATTGTAAATATAATATATTATTTCCAGTTAGTTAAACATCTTTACAAATAAGGGCACAGATATCTGGAAATGATCCCTCGAATGTACAACAAACAAAGTAAACCATGCTTTGTGAAGAAAACCGATCAGGTTATTATAAAATGCAAATATGTTGCATTAATAAAATATAACAATTATTGTTATAAAACTATTGTTATTTTTCAGATCGGATAGCCTTTTAGTATACCAACTTGTATGGTATACTTAGAAAAGAGATACTAGGGCGTTAGACAAATAGATAAACACAAAGAATAAAAATAGGTACTATTAAATCATTCACACATTAATATTGTAATAATAGCTCAATTTTTCCTAACAATAGTTTTACCTGCTTGAGTAATTTATACTCTATTGTACCAAGTCAACTTAAAAGACTTAATATAGATAAATATCACTGTAAATATATAGATAAAACTATGTTTAACATTTAAATGTTAAGATATTCGGTGCAAACGGTCATAAATTATATAAATAATTACAGTCTTCGATCGGGTTAAGTATACTTGTGATCAAATATATTTGTAATAGCACATTAAAGGAAAAAAAGAGTAAGTATGTGTACAATTTTTTTATTGTCTTTGTATATTATTATTATCCATCAGTTCACCTTTTGGCTGTCAGATTAAAATATTATGATTTCCTTGAATTTCGCCGTAGACCCCACCGAGATTAATCAAACATCAGCATAATATATGAACGTTGACGGATTCTTCAAACGCACTAGCGGTCACGGCGGCTTGTAGCTGTTCTTACAAATGTATTATTATTTTTTTACATTTTATTTTATTATAATATTATGTTAATATGCTATAGGTTCTGGCAACGACAGTTGCGTTGGACATGATTGGTTACATATTGATTATCATCATTCATCACAGTTTGAATATTTTAAACAGTTTTTTAATATTTTTCATATTCTTAATAATTATATTTTATTTTTAAATATTTTATACACGGTTTTAATATTCTAAACCGCGGTAATCATCGATTTTATCATGCGATAAAAATGTAGAAACGTTAGAAACGTACAATATTATTTGTTTTTTATTTAACATATTACATTATACCTACCTATAGTATATGTATAAGCGGTAGCCTTTTAAGTTATAAAAAACATACTTGTTATAATGTGGTTTTCAGATAACATTATTTTTTCAAATGTAAATTAACTCAGCTTGTTTTTAATCTGTGGTGTTTGACTTGACTCAAGTTAGTAACTTTAAAGATAGTAACTGTTCTTTTATCGCTGATACTGCAGAGAAATAGGTATAACGGTAAGGAGGACATTTGACATTATACACAAGTTTAACCCCTTCTCTCTCTCTCTGATAGATGGTCGATTTGTTGGATAATACTCGTACATATTATGTTCCGGACAAATGTGAGTATACTAATATTTTCCGAGTGTCATGTCGTGCACCATATGATAATAACAGCTACACGTGTAATTCGACAACCGTCGTGGATCGAGATCAACATAAACGGTTAAACGGCACAGTGTTAAATTATTATTTTATTCGTGTTCACTCAAGCCGCGTATATGGGTTGTGCCTTGAACTCGGGAATATAATAATATTCTAATAAACATATAGGTATTACAATATGTTTATATATGTATATAGTACAATATAAAACATATACATACGGCACCTATTGTTGTTGTAATATGCTAAGGTTCCGACGTTATGGAATTCGCTGAATTTGCAAAACTGCAAAATGTGTTAATAACACAAAAAAAAACTATCTCACGGTTACCTATGTGTACACAAACTATTCTTGTAAACGCTTATCGCAACCATCAGCGACCGGTTAAGCCATGATAACGATTCGAAAAATAAACACAGAACGTTTTTTGTTCCAAGTACATGAAGTGTATAGGTACCTATATGAAATCGAATCTAAGCCA